ACTCTGGGGGCGCCGCCTTTTTTTTTTTCTTTTTTTTCCCCCCCCTCGGGGGGGGGGGGGGGGGTTGGTTTTTTTTTTTTTTTTTAAAAAAAGGGGCCCCGAGAAAAAGGGCCGGGGGGGGGGGGGGGGGGGGGGGTCGGTCGAGATGGGCGTGCTGCGTGCACAAAAAAGGCGAATGAAGTGCGAAAGGAGAACTCGTTCTGAATGGTAGGGGGTGGTCGGTACAAGGGGGGAACTCGAAAAGGGGGAGGGGTGACGGATGGTGTCGTTGGTGTTGGCCTTCATCATCTTCACGGTCAGTCTGAAGTTGGGGTGATCTACTACGGCGAACAGCGTTATAGTTGAACCGGTACAGCCGAACGACGTGAACCGACAACTTGGGGGTCCTTGCCTCGACCAACAACTGTTGGTGGACGTGACGCTCGACATGTAGTAGAGGGAACCTATAAAGGTGTATCACAGCTGCGCAACAGTCGTGGACGTACAGGGGTCTTCGCGCTACATCACAGCTGCCAAAACGTGGCGCTCAACACAAAAGGGGGAAATCGCGCTGCTCACAGCTGCACAAGCGAAGTCCAGTGCGGAGCGGCTGGAGGGTGGGGCAGGCGCGCGGGCAAGGCAGCGTCCATTCGAGACGCCAAAGCGTGAGGGGGGGACGTCGACGAACACAACACGGCACCAAACAATAGTGTACGCAGCAGCTGCACCAATCAGCAGAACAAGCACAAGCACAGGATGACGGGTGAGGGCTTACTCTCATGTTTCGCACGCCTTAGCGGTTAGACCATTGACCACGCGTCCATCCTCAAGAAGACGGAGCACTGTTCCCACAGGACCGATCACCAATCGTTCCTTCCTACCCTGCCAAAGGCAGCTCAAAAACGGTTTTCCCATCCTATCTATGACGCGTGGGGGGCAGCTCACACTTCTGGCGCTTGCGATCAAGGCGGAGAACCCGTCCTTCATCTCCTTCGAGATCACGATTTTCTCGGACTCAGGTGGGGGTGATCCGTCGCCAGCGGCTGCGGCGCCCCCTGTCCCCGCCGGGCGCAACGCCTGCCTCGACCCTCCCCCCGACCCTGCTGATCCTGACACTAGCCCTGCCCTCGCTGTCTTGGCGTTCGCCATCCTCTCCTTGTCTTTCTCTCTCTGCGACGAACGGAAGGAGCAACGTCGGCGGAAAAAAGCGCCAGCATGGGTTCGCGAGAGCATTGGGTCGGCACCACCGATGATTTGCAGTCTGGTACAGGTAAATAGCGCCCGCATTATAAGAACCTCTAGTTTTCACCGCCGGGGCTGGGTTTCTTAGTTCTTCTTGTGGGCTACGAAACCAACATCAACAAGCCAAGTCTCCAAGAGGGCTGATGTAAGGCATTCGTGAGAGCCCTCTCTCCCTCCTCCGTAAGAGAAGCCATCCCTCTCTCTCTGTCTCTGTCTCTGTCTCTGCCTCTCTCTGTCTGTCTCTCTCTCTCGCTCTCTCATTCCATGTATTACTCCTGTACCATCAGTCTTCTTGGTCGCCCTTCTCTCACCCCCCGCACAAGAATCCCCCCCCCCCTCTCTCGATCCATGTACTACTCCTGTACCATCAGTCTTCTTGGTCTCTCTCCTCTCACCTCCCATGCGGCCACCTGTCTGAGGAGCTGCGCCTTGGGCAACGGCACCTCACGATCGTTGGACGCAGCAGACAGCAGAACGAGCCGCTTGTGCCTAGCGACCATGGCAGCCTTGCCCCCTCCTACCGGGAGACCGACGCGGATCAGCAGCGCCTTCATCTGGGGGATGAACGACAGAAAAAACGCACAAAACGGACAGAAAAACGTCATATGTTAGTCTTGGCCGGATGGCGTTTTCGGATTGATGCTTTCCTACAGCGGAGGGGAGGGATGCGGACATACAAGCGGGGAAAGCAACTGAAGGAAAATAACGGTCAAGACGCGAAAAAACATCACTGGTGTCAATTTAGACTTGTACTACGTCACAAAGAGACCAAAGTCAAAAGAAGTTATTGGCATCATTAACACCCGTTATGGCAATGGCCCGTGCTTAAACCAATGTACCCCAGGTTGGCTTGACTGTACATATCGGGCGTCGTGCACAATGTATTTGGCATCATCATCAACGTTCCCGGTTAGTTAACGCAAGTACTTGTAAGAAGGCCGTGCATTTGTCGCATCAGTCGACACGCAAGCAAGCCGAACATATCCACCCAAAAGCTGACAACTCAGTGGTTGACTCGAATCCTACTAGTAGCCAGAGAGGCCCATAGCTCGCAATGGTATAACAATTCCCAATTTGGGCATGCGGAGAGACATACACGCACTCAACGCATCCAAACAAGCTCACACAAGGAAGAAGATAGAATGTCGTGTCTAGGCATGAGTTTTCGTAAGCATTCGTTTGCTCGGTGAGGAAATCGATTGCACTAGAGTCGAATGGCTGATGTTTAGTACAACCGTGACGGTTTCGGTGCAAGAAGTGGTAGAAGAAGGTAGCAGGGTAACAAATAAACCCAACATATTCCCCGATCGGCGTTGCTGTAGTACCCACAAGATGTGTTCCATGCTATTTGAATGAAAGCATTAACATCGTTAAGGATGACCGCAACCATAAAGCAGGTCACTGTCGTGGTAGACAAACGACTAAGAATTGCGGCGGCAGCAAAATACCGCCCGTGAACCCCGAGAGCCGTGTTGCGAAAGCACGAAAAACGCCCCGCTCTTCCTCTGGCTATCCACTCGTCAGCAACTGGCTGGAACAGCGCGGCTGCATACACCACAGAGAGATCGGGCATGTTCCCTCATGCCTCACCACAAACCCACGCAACACATCTCAATCCCTCTTGTTCTTTGGGGCCGGCCGGCGGGTCCGGGTAACTACCAACACTTCTATCTTCGCCCCCTGAACACACCTTGCTATCGTTAAGGGAGTGGTAGTGCACCGCCTTGACAACGCCGCCATCTCCGACACGCCCTTGGCCGGCCCCGATCGCGCAAACCTTGCGCCTCCCGGACGGAGCGGGTTGCTCCCTCGCCGGCGCCGGCGCGGCTCCTCCTGCCGGTGCCGTGGCGCTAGCATTAGCCGCGGCCAGGATGGCTCGGCGGTTGTGCTTCCACGTGGTGCAGATCTGTGCGGAGGGAGGCCAGGGCCGTTGTCGAAACGGAACTTGTGATATCATTAGGGTGTCCAACGGGCGCAAAAAATGAAAGGACAGAAAACCTCCCGCAACATGAAAGAAAAAAAGGCGGCAGAGACCGCAGATCAACATGTTCAACAACATGCAGCATCTTCCAGACCTCCCCCCGACAACCTGCTCGTCTTGAAAACAAGAAGGGCAGCTTCCATGAACCCCCCGCCAGCCTGCGTATGGCACAGACAACGCATCGACAGCACGTACGGAGGGGTACTGCTGCACTCACCGACCGAAGCTCCTTGGACAGTTGCAGCATGTTCGACGCGGCTGTGAACACAGCCCCAGCGCGAGCGTGTGCGAAAAGTGACACGGGCAAGCAAAGAACGAAACACCCACCGGAAGAGGCGTCGGGGAGAAAGAGATGAATCCGCGGGTCCACCGGGCGTCTCTATCTACAAGCTTCGTTAGTTATCCTTACCCCTGCTGGGGTACAGCTCGTCAAAAACAACAGTGCGTCACTCATTCATGCCGTCTCCCATTCTTCTTCTCTGCGGTGTGCTGCTCGCGATGCAACAGCCAACAAGCGCGTGAGGTAGTTCCTTCAGCGAAACTCTGCATCAATTTTGTCCACACAACAAAAACCTCGCCAGTTTGACGTCGTCGCCCTTAGAAGTGTACGCAGATAGCTCCCGGAGACCACCATTGATACTATGCACAGAAATAGAAGGGGCGCTTTAGTCCCCCACCCCTCCCAATCGATACCCGTCTGAGATCGCATGGGACTGTCTGTCAGCCCTCCCACGACCCCAACAGCACCAAGAGGATATCGTTTCTCTCTCTCTCTCTTGACGCGACTCCCTCGCGCACACTCAAACGATTTTACCCCAACAGCAGTACAACACACTTCCATCACAATCCCTCTCTCGCGTGACACACGGCCACTCCCGTGTACGCTCACACGGCTTCCGGCAACAGGGGCAGCGGGGCGTCGTGCTGTTGAGGTACTGCCGGATGCAGAGAGAGCAGAAGGTCTGCTGGCAGCACGGCAGAGACACCGGCGGGTCCGAAAGCCCACGGCAGATCGCGCTGACGCACATAGATCGTGACCGAAGAGAGAAACGTGTCGCGGCGACGGTGTCATGTGACAGGACGCGGGATGCTTGGTGAGACTAGGCCATCGAAATCCGTGGGAAAGGTAAGAGGGCCATCGTTGGTCTGTTGACATGTTGCGGAAAGCGAAAATAGGCGGGTTTTCGTGATGGAGCAATCGTATCTGGTGGGGAGGGCGTCAGGAGGCAAGAGGGTCGTTCGAGGCAAGCGTAAAGAGCCAAGAGGGCCGTTGGTCTGTGACACGTTGGAGAAAGCGGCAAGAGGATTGTCGGTCTGTGATACACTGGCGGCAACTGCGGCAGCAGTGCTCCCTCCACTCACTTTATAGACTTGACCACATCCCTTTCGACGGTGGTTATATCTCGAATGGGTAGTCTTTCTGTGTGGTAATGTTACCTTTTACAAAAAAAAATGACGGCGACGAAACACTCTTGTGACGAAATATTACGTTAGGTGTACTCAGCACGAGAAACGGATCTACGGAGATCTAGTCGAGCCTTTGAAAAGTCGGTCCAGGGGGTGTGGTATCTTACGTCACCTACGGTAGGTGCATGTGAGTCTTGTCCCCGATGCGCAACTCGGCAAGTACTTTCCCTGGGTGATGGGAGCTGTACTTTTTCTCCCGAATCATTGTCGGACGATTGCGGTTCTCTGGAAAGAGCTGGTACACTATGTTCAAACAACCGCCAATCCTTGGTGACCATCACGACTGCAGTAAATACGACTGCAGCAGTATGGAACACACAAAAGCATGCGATCTCGAAGAAAGCGTCACCATACAACGGTTGGTGGCATGGTCGGTCTACGGATGGCAGCGGGCTCCGGGTGTGTGTGTTTGTGATGGAACAGCCTGGGCCGACTATCAGTTCGATGAAACGCTTTCCACCCTATCCAGGCGAGTTCAAACTTCTACGTAAAGGTGTACGCGTGGCTTCTTGCCTCTGCCCTAAACGCCCGAGTCTGCAGCAGCATCTCAAAATGAGGGTTCCTCCCCGTTCCTGCGTCCAGACGCACTCTCGTAGGCTATTCCATCGAGCGAATCCACTCAAGTAGGTTTTTGCCGACGAGAAAAAATTGGCAAAGAGACACCAGCAGTCGTTGCAAACACAACCCGTGGGTAGCAGTATCATGGGAGTGGGAAGTTCACAACAGAAACCCAGTACTTGTATACAGGCTGCCATAACGTTACACAGCAGTGGCGCTCGCAGGGTACAAGAGGAGGGGGGCGGGCAGAGAAGCATTCGGGTCGCCATACGTGATGCTCTTACCAGCGAAGGATGCTCTCGATGGAACCCAACGCAGGCCCGAGGCCCGCCTTTGGGTACTGGTACACCTCGTCGTCGTCCTCCTCGTCCTCCAGCCTGTCCTCCTCCGCACCAGCAGCACCCCCTCTCGTAGCAGACATCATGTTGGCTGCTGCTATCGTTACACTACCAAATACAGCCACTGCCGAAGCAACAACCGTTTCAGGTAGCAGTTTCAAGAAGCGATCCGCCCCCTTTCACCACCAAAGGAACCGCGAGCGCCCGCTGAACGACGCCCAGCACTGCAGCTGTTCCACAATGCACTGCTGTCTACCTCGCTGCGTGTGGCGGCGCCAATTTTTGAATTTGCCTCAACGAATTGGCAGCAAATTCAAACCGCTCCGATGCTTGGTAGCGTTGATGTGCCCCGTCTCTATATCCGTCGGAGCCTACCGCTATCGAAGGCACTGCGCTGGCTTAGAGAATAAGAGTACAGAGCTTATCCACCAGGCGGAAGGCGGGCAGGCCAGAGAGCGACAAAGAGCACCTCTGGCACTGCTCTGTGTCGATGGTGTGCTGCGGCTGTGTGATGCTGCTGTTGGAGACCGGGGGGTGACGCAGAGGGCGTAACTTTGGGGCGTCCATTGTTTACCTCTGGTCTGCTGGCAGCGGCAGTCGGAGCAACTGCTACCGCAGGACACACAGCGATAACCTCGCTCGAAACCGGGCGATGATGGGTTTACGACGGACGGCTGCGCCGCGGCGACGGGCATGGGTCAAGATTTTGACGCTGGTCTCTTTGCTGGTGCTTGGAGGCACTTCTGTTGCAGCGGAGCGTAGCATGGTGAGTGTGAAGCTCACAAAGACCCTAAGATTTCACCCACGGATGGATTGCACCACAGCAACATCGCACAGCAACGAAACCAATGCGCACCGCACGCTTGGAAGTCACAATACCGCCTCATCTGGGGAACTCGGGTGCAATCCTCTCCTTTTGCATCTCATGCTTACCCTGCCCTTTCGCCTCCTGCGCAGCGGACAGCAGCGGGCAAATCCAAATACCCGTCTGTGTAGCCCCTGGTTTGGTTTGGTTTGGTTTGGTCATGTGTGGACCACTTGGTGTGCGTTCGTTGCTCTCTCCCTCTACCTCTATGTTTTCCCGTTTCCACCATGCCTTGAACAAAGCACGATATGATGCGGGATCTCGGAAAAACTCCGTCGGGCAGTTGTTCAGGTCCCCTTGTAAACAATCGTGATCTGCAGTGTATCACACAAGATTCCACACCCCCTTGACTTATTTTCAAAGCTCGATTTCTCAACAGCAGCAAGAGTCACAGCGCCAAAAATGGCGGCATTGGATCCGTCTCGTCGAGTGCTTTTCGAAAATGTATCATGTCGTTTATGCATCCTCTTCGTTGTGGAGTAATCGAGCTGTGAAAATCGGCCCAGGGGGTGTGTTATATTGTGTCATGTACGGTATTGCGGGTAGGCTGCAGGGTGCAGGAACAAATAGTTACGATCTAAGAATATAAATCCTTCCAGGTGCAGATTGCATACCATGACTGCCAAAGTGTAGAGGATGAGTTCCGTTTGCACCTCGGATTGTTTTGTGTGTGGAGAAAGATCGCGGGCACCCCTCGCCTAATAGAGAAAGACGTGTCGAGAGACCTAGACACATCAAGAGACAGGCCAGCACGAAAGCGGCCAATCCAGCCATATGCACAACGAGCTCGACACCGTCCTCGTGCTCACCTGCCTTGTAAACTGTCGGATGTTGGGGGGCGAATGTCTTAACAATCAACTCCAATGATCCCAACGGGGACAAATACTGAGCATTCCTCAACCTGTGATCAACCCGGTCCGGCGTGCGCGCGAGAGAGAGAGCAGAGATGGCGTACACCAGAGCCAAAACGATCGAGTAGTCGTGCTTGCGTGACCCTGCAACAGGCGTCACGCTGATCGCAATCGCACGAGTGTTGCAGGTCCAAGACCACAACAGCAATACGTACTAGGTTGTGTGGGGCAATAATATCGCACAGTTGATGATCTGCCGGCACAGGTGGGTACATACCCTCATACAACGTGCGGCAGACCGTTCACAACAGCACCGGTGTTAATCTGCAGGCATGGTAGCATCTCCCGACAGAGAAGTCAACAAGTAGCGGTGCCCTCGGACCTCTCGTGCTGTTGCGCTTGGACCCCTCACCCAACGCCCCTTGTGCCCCCACCCTCGAAAAACGCCTTCGACTTCCTCTTCGAACCACTCCAATCAGTCCGCAGGCTCTAGACGTCGCTCCCTTGAAAAGCTCCGAGCAGCCGGAGACTCGAAGGGGCAGGCCGGCGGGGGGGCTGTCGTGGTCGTGGACGGGACCAAATTCGACCGTTACATCACGGGAGTTCCACGGCAGTACGAGGCGGTTGTCTTCTTCACGGCCGCCGGGGCCAACTACAAGTGCACCAGCTGCAGGTTTGTCCGAGTAGCGCAGCTGCAGGTTTGCCCGGAGCGATGTCGAAGTAGCGCGATACCAGTGTGTATCAGCGCGAGGTCAAGTGCGGGGACTATTGTATCCCAGGACTGAACGATGGTGACATAAACCCTCTTGCTTGATTATATGACACACAGCGTACTCCTTCCAGTACTTAGCACCACTGAACACATGTGCGTGCTATCTCTCGGGGGACCCCGCACTTGGAACCCCAACAACATACCCCCCCCCCATACATTTCCCAGAAGATCGGATATCGTACCCAAACATTATTCGTCGACCATGGGTGGGCCTTCCGACTATTGACCGCCGGCGGTAGCCCCCTCCCCCCCCCCCCCCCACCTCTCGCGATTCCGTGTGCCTCTTGTCGTTGATTGAATACCGCCGACAAGATGACTTGTGTTCCTCTGTGTCCCCGTGCTTACTGCTTTGTTTCAGCGTTCAACGCTTCGACGTGCAATTGTCGTCGTATGACCATCGGTGGCTACTGTATGGACATTAGAAGCCATGTGTTTCCGACAGAAATCTTGTTGTCGTGTTTTGCCCAGTCGAGCCTCACCCTCGCGCATGCGGCACCTGTGTAGTATGCTGGGACCTCGACCAACGTGACGATTTTCCTCTCCTGTGTGTACCTGCGCGCGTGACTCAAACGACATGACGAGTGTACGCACGTCTTTACCGCGAATCCTTCTAGATATCGCTGACTTCAAAGCGCTAGAGATCGCTGATGTCAAGCGCTGTTTTCTTAGGAATATGAACATCACAAAAACACAGAAAGACCACCCGTTCGAGACGCATCACCACAGCAGAATGAAGTCTTTACAATACTGTGAGTGGAGGGAAACCGGCTGGAAACTGGGCTTATTTTGAGTCTGTTTCAAGCCTGTACTTCTGCATCGGTTTTCTTCCTGTTTGGGATTCGCTTCGGCAGGGTGCACCTCGACGAGTTCACGACCATGGCGGAGTCATACCAGGCGGCGCGCGCCAACACCCCCGAGACGTTGAACGGCGTCGACGTCTACTTCTTCGTTGCCGACTTCGGCCAGAACCAGTTGCCGTTCCAAAAGGTGAGTCTGTGGTGGTTTCCTTGCTTGCTCTGTGGGTGCGATCTATGTTTGTGGGGTTTTGATGATGTTGGTAGCTGTGTCCGGGGAGCGTCTCGAAGCTGCCCCGTTTTGTTGGTCGCGGTGGCGCGCGGGGCTAGCGCTTGTGCAGTTCGGCGTGCTTTCTCCAGACTGAGGGTCAGTTCCTGCGCGACTCCACGCGCGGAAGGCCAACTCAGTTTTGAAGAAATGTGAATCCTGTTCGTTTCTCCGCGCGCCTCTCTGACCCCCCCCCCCCCCCACCCCCGTTTGGCGGTAACCAAAATGGTGGTCGAGTAGATCATGTTGTGCGGGGTCGAGAACCCTCACTCCGCGCAACGGGGGATGATCGCACCACGTTGTGTTAAAATGGTCAAGCTTCCTCGAGGCAGTTACACAGTGCTTACAACTGTCTGTGGAAGTGAAAGCACCAGAAAATAAACTAAGTCATACGTAGCTGTCATCCGTACGCAAGGAAGTAAGCCAAGATGCCGAACACCCTTAGCAGGATGCAGCTCACCCTTCATGCGACTCGCCAAATACCTCACGGCGCTTCGCGCTTGGTGATGTGAGAGCCTGGTCCGGTGAGAACCCGGCGTGCTCCGTCCCGGCTTTGTAGGGATGCGAGGTCAATGGTCAAACGACTACGGCATGCACGACTATGAGTACACCCCCCCCCCCACCCCCCTCTTCTGTCTCTCTAGCTGGGCCTCCAGACAGTCCCGAAGATTCTGCACTTCCCCCCAGCGCTGGCGGAGGGGGACGACGGCCGCTACGCAATAGACCAGTCCCAGCACATGCACATGGCTGGCCAGGTGAAGGCCGAAGACATGGCGCGATTCGTGAAGGAGAAGACCGGCGTGTCCTTCCCTATCATCAGGTACGGCAGCCCCAAACCGTGTATTTCGTGGACTCTTTGTCGTCTTCTTGTCCTTGTCTGTTTTTGTACCTGTGAGAAATACGTTGATGTGCGATTGTTTTGTTACATTGTTTTGTCTGTACAACGTGCGTCGTGGTGCGACTGCTTCTGATAGCGCTTTGCCTCGACGTGTGTTGTGGTGCAATTTGTTTCTGACAGTGTTTTTTTCTCTTCATCGTGTGTTGTTGTGCGATCGTTTTTGAGATTGTTTCGTCTCTAGAATCCTATGGAAATATATCCTATGGAAGTATGTCCTATGGAACTACATCATACCAGCCACCAAGGAACACGAAAATCGTGCGGGCGGGTGTTTTGCGTTTCGGTCTGACCCAGGCCGGAGCCCCCGGTGATGATCATCCTGGTGGGGCTGTTGGTGGTGGCCGCCCTCGCTATCAAGCCTATTCTCTCCAACCTGGGTGAGACACCGTGCCGCCTTCAGCGGAACCAGTTTGTGCTCTAATTTCCTCCCTACGTATTCGGATACCAGCTGCGTTTTGCCTACCAGCGTCGTGCCGGCAATGCATACCCGCCCGTCGTGTCATGGTGTGTGCGGGCGTTCTCCTCCGGAGCATGGTTGACAAGCCGGTTTCGCCCTCTTGCAGCGGCGTTGGGGAGCGTCTCGAGTATCCTCCCACCCCTTCCGCTCTCCCCCCTAGTCGCCCTTCCATTCACGCCGCCTTTTTGCGTGTTCCAGGTGCTCTGCTCCGGGTCATTCGAAACAAGTATCTCTGGCTCGCCACATCGTTGTTGGTGTACACGTTCGGTATTAGCGGGGGCGTGTACGATATCATCCGTAACCCCGCTCCGTTCATGGTAAAGCAAGACGGGTTCATCATGTGGTTCCATCCCCAGGTACGCACGGTGTTCAACTTTTCAGAGACGTATCTTTTTTGGCCATGTACGGGTACCCCAAGGTCTAATCGTGTTGTATGTAAAACTACCGCTGTGCTTGTTTCTAGTATCAGCTTAGGTGTACTCAGCACTAGATACGAACCTACGGAGATCTAGGGGGCTGCGTGGATCATGTTGGTATGTGATACTGGAAGGGCAGACCCCCTTCTAGTGTGCAGGGCTTTGCTTGCCCTGCTGTTCACTCGTGCATATCAAGGCCTTGAGTCATCCTTTTCTCCACTCTCTGACGCTAAGCACCCACTACCCAACACGATGCTCCATAAGATTGGGGGAGCTGGTGCCACACCGAACCTTGTCAGGGCCACCTTTGCTTTAACCGATTGAAATTCGACGGAGCCCAAATTTGTTCGGATGGATGAAGCCGCCGTTGTGCGTACAATTGGCACAGGCTTCCATCTCCAGTCGAAGCGCTGTTCCTTTACCCTCTCCTCCCCATTGTTTCGCTCTCCTGGTCGTGCTGCTTCTATGCCGCTTTTTGCCGATGCAAAGTCCAACGTGCAGTTTGTGGCAGAGGGGTTCATCACCGGCATCATGACGCTCATGTGCGGGTTGTCGGGCATCCTGCTGGTTCATGTAAGTCGCTCAGCCCCCCCGCGCTCAGCTCGTTGCCCGGTGGTACGACCACGACGTTAGGGATTGCGTTGTCTTCACTGTGGGGTAACAGGTGCGGCGCGGTGTCGGCTGTTGCGCAGGTGGTGACACGGTTACAGACGCATCTACGGGGTCGTCTCTCTGTAGCCTCGATATTCCCGCTTTCGTTTGTAGGAGCATTAAAACCGAAGATCATCGGCGACTTGCGGAACAGTGCTACTGTATCCCCGCGGGCCGCCTGGATTCCGCACTTCCGTCGGCAACAATTAACCAATAGGTGTCATAAATAAAGCCTAAGGACTTTATGGCTCTTCTCAAAGAGGGGGGGGGGTTGGCAACGAGAACTGACAAGCATGAAAACGCGCTTCGAACTTCGTACGGCATATTTTCGATCCCCCCGATCCCATCCCGTAATGGCTGACTTCGGACCCTCCTTTGCAACCCCACCGAATCATGTTACGAAGAGTCAAAATTCGGCCAAGAAGAATACTCCACGCCTCTAACCATGCTCCGATCATGATATCCGGAGGTGGAATTGGTGAATTGCGCTTGGTTTCATGTGAAGCCCTTCGCTATGTGCCCCCCCCTTACCACTCTTGTTGCACTAGCACATCGACACGCTGTCGCACGCGCGCCTGCCCCGTCCCTGCCGCGACTCGCTTGGTTGCGTCGCTTCTTGGTGACAGGTGGCGCCCAAGTTGAGAAACAGTGGATACCGACAAGTCGCGGTCTGTGTATGCGGAGTGATTTTCCTCATGCTATTTTCCAAGGTGAGATGGTCTCGTGTCGTGTACCGCATTAACGGGAAACGTTGGGTTGTCATCGGCTGGCAACGGTTTGGAAGACAGGTGAAGGGGTTTCGTTGCCGTTTACGCCTGAGGCGTGTTTGGCCTTTTTTCTTTGTCGTGTTTCACAACGAGCACGTTCTGGACTGCTTCGTACGAGTCGTCATGAGGGTAGGCTTGAAACTCCGTCTCCAATAAGCATGTCGGCGTTTTGTTTGCAGCAAAAGTGACAAGGGCTCCTTGTTTCAACCCCCCCCGGCGTGTGTTTCTCTTTCTGGTTCTACTCGTGTTCGTGCCAAGGTCATGAGCCTGTACAAGTCAAAGAACATGTGGTACCGCCCTGTCTTCTGAGGGAATGGCTTGTGCTTCGGAGTCCTTGGGAAGGAGCTTCTTTCATGATACTCCGTATGTTGCTTCTTGAATTTTTGTCCGGATCTTTCTTGACTGGCCCGAGAATGTGGTGTGTCCCATGCGACACCCGATCCCGGCGTGTGTGCTGTCTGGGGCTGGATTTGCACATCGTGTGTGTGTGTGTTTTGTGTCTTGAAAGGACATCTTCCACGCTCACCGGCTGTTCAATGAGAATACATCCAAGTCTTGCTGGGTGTGTGTTGCGTGTGTGCACCGCCACGTGCGTGTCGCCGCGGCAAGTTTATCGCGGCGGGAACCGGTTGAATTCATCCCATGCAGTACAACCATAACTTTAAGGCTTTGCTGCCGATGCACCGTAGTTGCTCGTGACATTCGCGTTCCACTTACGCGGAGAACCTAAGCAATTCAAGCCATCCCCGCCTCATGGCAGCTTTGACGATTTTCGACGTTCGACGTCGCCGCGTGAAGTCGGGGCAAGTTGACAAGCTTTTCTACGAGCAGTATTTTGTGTTCGAGTTTTGCCCGCGGGCGCATGATGCAGGGGTATGCAAGGCGCGTATGGGTTTTGGGTAACTGCAGTCGGGAATGACTTGCCGACTATTGTAGGAATCGCTGACGCGGGTTTCAGTCCCAGTGGGCCACCCTGGTGCACAAGACCGGTTGGACCTTGTGCTACGTTGTTTAAATGGGCGTGTGCCGAGATGGTTCCCAACGGTTTCCTAAAAGTTCACGGTTCGCCTGGAGGACAGTTCGTCCAAAAGCCAAGGATAGCACACAAAGCCACAGGTTGTGTTTGGCGGCTACGTTATCATGAAACAGTTTCGGGTCCGTACGCCCTGAATCGGTAGTCTCGGGCATTCCCCCCGGTTCGTTTGGCCATTGCGATGTTGAACGACGGAAGACAGACGGTCGAGCAGCGGGACACGCATCAGGGTGGTCACTGACTACACTCCTAACGACAGCGAATGTTTCAGAACGTACTGCTGTATGTAGCATTTCCGCATGTCCACCGCTACCCACACATGTCTCTGTGAACCCTTTACTCGATATGTAGGTGGCCAGTTTTCCCCGTCGCTGCACGCGGGCGAACCGCGCGAGGCTTTGGCTCTGCCGAAGCCTCTCTTTGTAATCTCTATATAGAAACTGCAGGATGCGCACTGGTAACCCGGGCCTGTAGTGAAACTCGCAAAAAATGTTCGCAAAATAAACTGCCATGATGACGCAAAACGAACACAAATCGATATAGCGACGGAACTTGCGGTCAATAGGGAGACCCTCGTTTTTGCATCATTCGCCCTTCTCCACGCTTCCCACTGCGCACTTGACCTCCCTCGTGGCAAGACTGCTGTATTGTTGTACATACGACACTGCAAGAGAACGGTTTCAATCCACTTACTGAAAAGACTTGACCACGTCCCTTTCGACTGAGGTTATATCTCGAACGGGTAGTCTTTCTGAGAGATCATGTTTACTTTCTAAAAAAGAACGGGTCTACAGGTTTTGTGGTGGTATGCACGCGTGATGAAGTCTGGTTGACCCGTGAAGAAGAACTCACTTGTTGTTACTCTTGCAGAACAGCAGCAGCAGTAGCTGTTGCCTTGGGTATCGGTAGGAATGACACCAAGGGGCGCAGGATCCTCAATACAAGCAGGGGCTACTAGATCCTGTCCCCTGTTTTATCCTTCCGCGGGGAGTTACATCTCTCCGCGCCTTCTAGAAGGAACCATTCTCTTCTATGTTCCGGCTACACATCTGAATCCTATAACAGATGTTAGACTCCGATAGAGATGGGTTCGTGTGTACTTCTATGCGTAAGAAACTCGACGAACCAACTACCCAACACCTTCCTTGTACACCTTGCCAGCATAACACACAGATAGATGCACAAGACGGCTACCATACGGCCTTGTCGACCCTGTTACCCACGGGGGAGATATCACTGTGTGCTGCTCGGGAAATCGTGGATGGACAGAACTTTCGCTGACGCCATGGATTCATTGATAGACTAATCTTTGACTCTTTTCTTCGACTGTCGGTAGAGATGGATTCGTTGTGTCATGCTGAGAAAAAAAAAGAAAAACTCTCGCTGTCAGTGCGGCGGAAAAGATGCCGGTGTCGCGGTTCCGGTTGTGGTGGTGTGGTGGTGTGTGGGTGGTGTGGTGGGGGGTGGGAGGGTTGGATACCCCCCTGGGTGTTTCTTGTCCGAGTTGGGGGAAAGAATGAGAGACAGACATTGCTGTAAGACTGAAACACTTTGTGCCAGCCAAACTCCCAATCAATCAAGACCACCGCTGGAAGAGACAAATAAATCTGTGAAACTGAAACACTTTGTGCCAGCCAAACAATTTCAGGGGGTTCTGCTGATATCCACGGTGCCACCTTTGTTTCTATACCCTGTCGCCCGAAACTCACCAATCAATTTGGTCTGCGCCAACACGATGAAACTGGCCAGCGTGCTGTGCGGGACCACCGAATGACGTTGACTGCCGTGCCAACGGTCGTGCCAACGGTGTTCGACCTTACCATGTGCAACGTCGTGCAGAAACCACCCAGGCTGTAGTGGTGCGCCCGAGCACCAGCATGGCGAACGGTCCCGTTGTGCGACACATGCCGGTAGGCTACATGTATGTCCGCTTCGCCATTGTCTGCTGGTCGGCTGTAGAATGAAACGTTTACCCTCGGATCCACCCGTGGATCCTTCGACCCCTCTACTTCGGCTGTTGCTGAGGGCATGTTGTTTGAGACCGCCACCACACTGGCATGTCTTCAGAGTGCACTCGCCGGCCAAAGTGGCCAAACACCACACACAAACCACACGCCAAGTTGGCCCGTGTTTTATTCGCAAGTGAGGTGGATACCATGGTGGTGTACGGTGGAATGAAAGATCGCCCCGCATCGCGGATGAACGCGGATGAACATTGCCCGTCGTCCGATCATTGGTCGTCGTAGATCGTGCCGAACTTCTTTCATGCCGTTGGCATATTCTACGGCTTGGGAGCGTTACAGCACGGCCATGTCTTCAGCGTACACCCGCTCGCCAATTGCCCAACAACGCATGTATGTGCATGAACACGTTTTCTGCGGCGGGGTGGATAGAGGATAATAGTACTACCACACAAAAACCAGAACTACGATATCTTCATTTGCACATTCTCGTTCTTTCCCCAAATTCAGGGGGTGATCCAACCCCCTGCCCCCCCGATAACACCACCACACAACCACTACACGACAAGCATTGGCCATTCGGTCAGCGGGTGTGCGTTGCAGACATGGTCGTGCCGTAGTGGTCTCAGACAATTTGTCGATAGTTCGAAGAAGAAGGTGGGCACACCACAGTTTGCGTGTTGCTACACTCCACAGTAGGTCAAACATCGGAATCCACGTGGACCCCGTGGGGGTATTGTTGGCTGCTCGCCACGGTAGTGAATTAACGAGAGTATGGAGTGTCGAGTACGATCACGGAGGTAGGCTTAGATGAACATGTCCTGGGGTGGGGTGGAAGGGGTCGGTACAACCACGAGCTCGGACGGAGGAGTAAAATAATGGTGGGGGCAAGGCTAGGTAGGGTGCTGGGACTAGAGAGGAGCGGTGTTGGTGCAGAATCTCAGGTGCAGTGGAACGAATCTGGTTTGGGGCAGAAATAAATGGATGCACTATAGAAGCTCGGTTGAACTAGCGTGGTGGGAGAAAGGCTAGGGCAAGCACTGGGGAACAAACGGCGATGATGGACGCAGAGACGGAGGAGGTGGATGGAATGGATTTGGCCTCCGAGAGGATACATAATAAGAGGCTCCGGAATGAACCAGGCGCATTGACTATTGTGTGGCCGAGCTCTTTTCTGGTCGTCGCCTTTACAAATCATTTTTCTCGTTGTACTGGTGAAGACAACCAACTTCCTGTACAGGCGCAATTTTCCATCGTTCGTAATGATGCAATGCCAGAACTCCAGCATCGGAGCTTCGAGACAACTCGGCACACTCAACGAACCTTTGTTCAACGGGGGACTCGAAAAGAGTAAAAAAAATGGCAAGCAAGAAACGACCAAGACCCTAAAGGACAACCTTCAGCAGAGATAGTGCGACTTCGTATCCACTCTGCCGGACGACAAGAAATGACTGGAGAAATACAAAGTTGTTGCATGTGGTATGCCGGTGCTGCCAGTGCGATCTTCACAAACCTACGGTAGAACTGATTTTATTGTTCAGGGCATTATACATGAATCGGAGCCACAACAGAGGAACAGGTCAATGCAAATACACAATACAAAGATAGATGGAGATATTCATTCCACACCGCACCAATCTCGTGTACTATTACGGCTCACACTTGGCAATGAAAGCCTAACCAACTACAGCTAGGTGCTTGTACCAACATCCCTCGTAGTCGTACATGCTCCAACCCTCGTTTGCACCAAAAGCCCCAACTCCTTCATCATCCGCTGATGCAGTGCTTCTTCCAGCCCCTTTAGCTGCTCTTTGGAGGTGTTCTCCAGGCGATTCCGAAGAAGCTTGATGTGCTCCACCGTGGTGCGTCTGTCCTTCTCATCCTGACGCACGTCCTTGTCATCCATGGGGTCGTGAAGGAATTCGCGCAACTTTTGCGCTCCTACTCCTCCAGGGCTTTTTAACAGCATGCTCTCTATTGTGGATTTACTAGCACCGTGTAGGGATGTTGCTGTACTGCTGGTATCGTCATTGCAAGGGCAGCGAAACAACACCCGACGAGATGCGTTCAGCCACAACAAGAGGAGATACACCGGAGCACCAAAAACGCACCAGCACGGGATGATCACAACATACCGAAAAATCAGCGACCAAGGGTTCATGCTCTTGCTGTCGCCTCCACCATTTTCCCTCTTGTTGTGAAGTCGGTGGTGCTTGCGCCAAAAATACATCGCAGGCAACACCGATCCCATCCAGAGGAGACTTCCTCCAATGACAGCTACGGGACCCAGCACGACCCAGAACACCACGGGTCCAATGGCTTTGCTCCCGCATGCGTACGCTTCCTTTGAACGGTTGCGCGATCGTTGTGTGTTTCCAGACACGCCGCTATTGCGCCCACAACACCCGTGCAAGCACCAAGCAATCGGCCATACGACCAGCTGCAGCAAGTTGAACGGGGTCGGAAGCATGTCGTCCGTCACGACCAACTGGTAGTGATCCATCATCCGCGCGATCGATACCTTGAACTCGCGTTCGATATTTTCCTCTACCTGAGCGTGCGAGGTGCTCAGAATAGCAACGAGGAGGTTGAGGAGCATGACCGTCACGATGAAGAGATACACCACAAGCAAGAACGTCGCCACAACGTCGTACGTGTCTCCCGAGAACACCTCGAAAAAGCCGGTGTCACCTAGCATGGCTTTGAACAAGTCCAGAAACGACTCGCCGAAGCTGTCGAAGTCGCGGAACAGGACATGGAAAGCCATGGTGAAACCCAGCATTATGACCGCAATGACGAACCCGAACTTGAGCAGGATCCTCGTCATGCGAAACACTACCTGCGCAATGCAATACACACAAATCACCACGTTCCACAGTCAGTCACCCCCGAGTGTTTCGCAGGAGGAAGTAGAGACATCCCGCAATTGTCGCCTTCCACCCAAGCGCTCAACATGCGAGGTTGCTCTTACGAGCCATGCCAGAAAATTTCTGAACGACGCCAAAACAGCGGGCTCGTTCTGCATCACGCTCAGCGCAGACTGCCGTGGGCCGATCCAAATCTCCAATGAGATATTGTGGCATACGTCTATATCATAACTCAACACTCCCGAAAAGCTAGCCTTCAACGTTAGGGAAATGGTTCTCGCTATAGCATTCTGTCAAACCATTCCCTAAATCCCCTATTTGAAGTCGAAGTCGTGTACACGCTATGGGAAAAGTTTCGTTTCGCCACTCGCCTGAATCATCGGGCCTTGGAGAGGATGGATCTGGACGAAGAACAGGGCGCGGGATACCAACAGTGGGGCGCCAAGCGCATAAAACGCGGGCCCCAACTGGCTTTTCCAGTCTACAACTCTGCCGACCAAACCGATGGTCAAGAACAGAAGGCTCAGCAAGTCCAGAGCATTCCACTGGTCTTCACAGTATCGGCCCAAGTTTCTTGCCATCTCGCGCCCCTCCTGGTACACTCCACCCTGAAGCAACATCGGGTTCAGAAAAGGAGAGTATTGCAGTGAAAAACGCTTCGAATTGGTCCCCGACGGCATATCGCAATCAACTGTAGCATGGAGTTGGTTGACGCCTCATCGTGCGTGCGACCAGAATATCCGAGAAGTAATTTTCTTGTCTTGGGGCGTGTGCAATGGGGCCTCGGTGACATACAAACCAGTTTTGGAGGAACGCTCACATCCAAGTAAACGTTGTTTTCAGCTCACACTCTTGCAGGAACTTACCACGATGAAGACCGTCGCACAAGTGGCCTCGGGCCAGTCGAGCGTCCTGAACACGATTTGTTCATCGGTGGAACCCTCGACATGAGATTGCTCGGCCTGTGAGCGGAAGAGCACAAGGATACTCAGCGCCACGATCATCCCAATGTAGACGACGAGGTCGAGCACCATCCTCATGGCCGGCACCCTGAAGTAGTCGTTAGGCCTTGTAGCCAAGCCTGCGACTATAAACTGTGCTCCAGGGAAAGGAGTAAGACTGGGGAACCGATCATTGGCTCCTTGTAGCAATGCCCGAGGCGATCTGAAGCTGGCAAGAAGGCTCTTGCTACCGAGAAGAGTGGGATGCTTCCATGGTGGTCTTGATGAAGCGTTGTCCGCCTGTCCAATCGCTTCTCCAATTGTTTCGTCGATCTGTTCGTCGTTCAAATGGCCGTCTTCTTTCCGAGCATTGACCCCCACACCCGAATCAAGCACAAGGCAGACATCTCCTTTCACTCCCCCACGACTCAGATGTAAGATCTCGTTGGAATCCGCAAGAACCTCCTTCGGGTCGCGCAGGCGAGGCAGGCTGAGAGTGAACTTTCGTTTCAGGAAGTCCATGACGAGAGGAACATTGCAGAAAAGTTCCCTCTGCTGCTGTCTCGCAAGCATCATCTCCAGAGGCTTTTCGAAGTCCTCGAAAACGTCCAAGAACGTCGGCTCAAACATGTCACGGCAGTCGTCCATGTCCCTCTCGAAGGATCTGACCGATCGAGGAAGACGCTCAAGTACCTCGAGCAAGAGATCGTTCACGCTCTTCTGGATGTCTGTGATGGCTCTTCGTTCCCCCTCGTTAGCCTTTTGGGCAGCCTCGGCGAGGCGTATCGACAGCACCAAGCCCGGGATGAATGGGTTCGCAGCAGAGGTCACGGCATCCAAGCAACAGTCCTTGAAGGTTTCTCCTCGGGCGTGCGCGATTGCGAGCTTCTTGAGATGGCTCGGCGAAGGACGGGCGGAGCAGGCCATGAGGGAAGAAAGGAGCTTCAGGCCGAACGGTCGCCCAGGATGGCGGTCCAGTTGTCGTTCCGCACACTCCGAGAAAATCTCATCTAGTGGAACCGTCTCAGCCACCTGAGATTATTTACGTGGGCGGAACAAACCGATCCTAAGGCGTATGTCAACACCACATAGACCACGGGCAAGCGCGTGCAATTTCGGTGGGCATTGTGGACCACACGCTCACCACGACCTTTCCCTCACCGTGCTCTCTCGAGGGTGGCCGACCTACGATGAGTTGCTTGCGAAACCGGTATTCATGGCGGCGGCCAGAGATGGAGCAACAAGGAAACGGCATCAATAGAAATACGTAGATATTTGACTGCTGCGCACGAACGGAATTTATCGTTCAAAAAGAAAAACAATTCCGAACGATTCCTTCGTCATTCGGGCGTCTTGCCAAATCAAGGCGGGCTACCCCCGGACACCGTTGAACACATGGATCTAGGCATTCTGGACACTCAATGTGCCTCGAGCCTCATTTGTCATCAACATTACCCAATCGAAGACACACCAGGATCTCGAAAAACGTCAAGTGCGATGGCAACGATGGCAAACCCGGCCCAGTTGGGTTGGTTGGTACCCACCGATCACAAAGCACACGCATGACATACTATATTCGTTTCTTGGAATTGCACGATGTTCGGTGGGTTACCTTTTGGTTTCTGTTCACGCATGTCGTAACCTGTTTCAAAAGCCAGAAATCGTTTTGTTTCAGTGCCCACCGCAGGTAGGACCCGGTGTGCCTCCATGCCACAGTTTTCAGGGAGTTGACAAGTTCTGTCACCTGGAGAAAAGCAAAGATGGCATCGACACTACTTTCAACACATTGGGTAGAACGAGCAACACACATGCAGCAGGGCAAGGAGGGCACGGTTCCCGAGCAAGAAAAAGCGAACTACATATCCCCCAAGAAGACTGTTTCCGTTGTCACCACACGCTGACGGGGCACGGAAAAAAATGAACACACGTGACGGTGATACCGTAACAGTTGGGGATTTCGCCTCGAAGATAAGTTACGTGACCTGGAAGATGTTCTGACCCTCCACCGCAGCTTTCAAGACGGCCTCGAACACTCTCAGGCTTTCGCTTCTCCACACCGCCTCCGACAGAAGATTATAACGGAACTCGAGGGGGGTGTCTTGCTTCTTCCGTGGTGGCGCCTTGCTATCTGTGAACCCATCCAGCTGGAAGGGTGGACGAAAATGTAAGTACGTGCCCAAGATCCCGACATGACGGAGTCGAAAATTGGGTCTCACTGTGCAGCGGTGTGAATCCGGGTCAATGAATCCGGTCACAAGGTCCGTTTGCATTTTGTCCTTCCCGTGTACGAAATAAAGTATTCGCGTACCGTTGGAGACATACATGCCATCCCATCGAGCCCCACACATCGAGGGACTGCGTCCGAAGTGAAATACACCGGAGTGCAGAAAAGCTCAATTCGGGGTTCCTTGGGATCACCTTCGTGTAGCCAACAGCCCGTCGACATTCGTTCAGGGCGAACTCAAACCGCCCTGCGTCCTTGGTGTTGATCGCCATCGATAACAGGGTTTGGTTGGCGTTGTCGGTCATCTCGATAAGCTTCCGCACCTGGAACAATAACGTCGGACGTCGACAAACGTAAACCAATACAAAAGGATGTCACCTACATTTTTCCAACCATTTTACTTTGTCAGGCAGGTCAGACTCAGACGCCGGACTACCTTCATTTGCGTACATGTCAGCCACGGGCATTTGCTTTCGCGAATCTCAATTTTGTCTTTCTGCGAAGGTTGAATATCGAAAATTGATATTTGGGCTTTGATTAGGCCATTCCAAACGTCCGCACATGATCGTTCTGCTTTATGCCATCAGCCACGACGTTGTGTTTTGATGTCAACAACCAACACCTGACCTCTGCACCCATAGGAAAACCTAGGACGTTTTCCATGAATTATTTGCAAGTGGTTCTGCCAATGCGGGAATAGACTGAAATGATGGAGTGTTCCCCGTGTGGATAACAGGTGGGGCAAGACCGAGACCACATAGCGGTCATTGCTTGTTCGACAGCATGTCGTCTGGGTTGTTTTCTTCGTGTCGACCTCATATAAAGCAGTGGGGCGTGCCGAGGCTTCTGCCTAACAGAACTGCTTCAAGATGCCCGGCGCGAGAGGAACGTTTGCAGAGAGCCTTCGCCGAGTATCCAATCTGTCACGCCTGCACTGCGAGTTGCAGTCGGTTCAATACGCCGCGAAAATACCTGCGGGCTGTCGAGCTGCTCCATCGTAAACTCGAGAGCACTTCGAAACGTTTCCGTGTTTCGGCTGTTGAAAGCGGCCATGAGGACAGTGCTTCCACTGTTGTCCGTTGACGTTAGCATTTGACGAATCTGGTAGGGAACAAAATACCATGGAATTATGAGGAGAAAGTTCGAAGAGTTTGCGCACGCTTGGAGTGACGCAAAATTAGTATTCTCGCTGTGCAGTTGATTCAAATGCGTATCTACTCTTTGAAATATCGTGATTCTTGAGGAATATATGCATAGGGTGACTGCAGATAGAAACAAGTTTGAAACTGGTTTAGACCTTTCTCGCAATAGTGATGAGATTTCGAGTAGGAAGTATTGATGTCGAAGGATCAGCTTCCAAACCTCGACCTTCTCTTCGAAAATAATTCCGAAACATATTCCCAAACGAAATTCGAAAAAAGTTGTTGTCTAGATCGATCCCTACCATCACATGCGTTTCATTTTCCACCCCTACGCAGCGAAAGATGCAGTGGAATATTGACACGCTGCCTACCTCGTTTGTGCTGAGACGCTGAACCAATTTTCGCACGTGGCTGAAAGTTGCTTGATTCCCACTGAGGGCCGCGAGCTGCGGCACCGTGCGTCCGTGCTCGTCCCTTTTCACCATTTCGGCGCCCAGAGTCCCGCTCGTCTACAACAGTAAGAAAGTGCAGATTCAACGTCGAGGATGGAGGATTCCACCCTACATCTACGGGCGACTCTTTGTACTGGCATGGTTTGTGAGCTATGACCACTACTAGGTATCTGCCGACTACCCACACCATTCCGTCAACGCGGCAAGGCGCAGCCGGTTGGAGGTGTTTGCACTCCTAGAATGAGGCATAAGGAGTCGGTACTGGAAACCTGAACAAGCTGATGGGAAACACGCCATCATCTATGTTCTCCCCGAATGTAATCACCTCCATAGCACCGGCCAATAGAGAAAATACTTCCTCTTGTCCGCGTATCGCCGCGTGGAGGAGGGGAGAGGTATTGCGGAACAAACCGTCCTCGTCGGCCTCATGTTCGTCGGCAGTACCACCGTACGTCTTCGTCAGCTTCTGCCGCACTTCCGCGTTCACCTGCCGCAAAAAATTAACTAGCCCTTCTCTGTCGCCCTCCTGGATAACAGCTCGTAGACGGTCTTCAAAGACCAAATTATGTCAAGAGCGCAGCAGTTCATATGCATAGCATCAGGAATAACAGTGTCGACTCGGGGAACGCCTCATCATCTACCTAATCCATCGTCCAAGTCGACCCTAACCTTGCTGCCCTCGAACAAAGGCGGACGCAAGCTTGATGGAGTCGCTGAGCGAAACCGAAATGCGCACTTTGCCTAGGTCGTGTGGTCCGTTCAGGACAATTGTTGCAACGTCGTTGCTAACGATTATCTATTGGAGTTCACCGAACCAAGCATCCTGCTGAAGCTGCACCTGGCACATTTCCACGAACAACGTTCGAACAGAAACTATGTAGAACTGTCGAACACGAGTTGACGAGCTACTAAGCGACCATGAACTAAGGGTGGACCAACCCCCTGTGCGTTGAGGCAGAAATTTGAAACAACTTGCGATCGTACTGCGTAACATGGGGACAAGGGCATCTAGCGGAGGTTGACCTCTCACTTTGGACCAACGTTCTTGTTGATCGCAGGGAAAAAATCCGATGTCCCCCCATGTCACTGAGGCACGGCGTTTTGAATTATCGGAATAACCCCCCGTGATATTGAGAAGAAGTTGGGGATCTTGCCTCTGCGCACGGGGGCGAAGTAGCAATCTCGTTCCAGGTGGATATAATTGTTTTGAGGATCGAGGCGACGTGGTCGACTTTCGTAGCAAGCTACTGATGTCCACTTTCATATTATCACACGATTGATCAGCTGTTCTCACGGAGCCTTTGTTCCGAAACCAAGATAAAACTATAACCGGTCTTGTCAAGCCATAGAATGCCTAAAGATCAATGGAGGGCGGACATATGCTCAAAATATCGACAACAATTTACCATCCTCAATGCACGTACCGTTGTCTGGAATTTTCTTTCTGGCCCTGACTTTCGAACTGTCCTCAAGCTTTCCTGAATTCCCCGCCAGCAGATAGCACCGGACAACAACATTTGAGGAAAACGACCACTGTTGCGTTAGGCCGCAAGCCAATAGCGCCCCCGTCGGCAAACGATACGAATACAATTAATTGCAGCAGTTCCAGATTATTGAACAAAGCAACTCCATTAACCTCATCCCGAGGACGCGGCAACGCCGTAAAAAAAGAGCGTCATCACCGCAAGGTGAGGTGTGGCGCACGTGCTTCGCAGCAGGAGTGAACCTTGTTAGAAGCTCAACATTGGGTACACGGGGGGAGTTCAAACATTTTGCAAAACCCCGCGAACTCGACACAAAAGGGGCGGCAACAAGTTTCTTCGCACGAGAAAATAACGTCATCCTTTTCGACATGCGGTGCTGACAGTTTACGTTCGACGCCAACCTAACGTGTCGGCGTCGAAGCTTTGGTCCACTACCATTATCTGACACTGAATGGTACACACCTGTATCGAGCGGGATCGAGGTAGGAATCTCGATGTTTTTGTCACTTAGAGTAGCCAGCCACTCCGGGATGTCACGACGGTGTCCTCCGTCTTTGGCAGCTGCCTCCAGGTTTTCTGCTGTCCCTGGCGATGCTGAGAATGTACGATCGTTGGAGAAGAAAACCAACAAACCGCAATACCAGAGTCATAGTGACAGCAACTTTTCCGACTGAGTGGCCACAAGGGAACGACCGACCATGGTAAGTTTTGGGCGAGGAGCATGATTCAGAAAGCTGTAATTTCACCACCGGTGTCCGAATGCTTATTCACTGCAATGCTTCATACAATCTGGGTGTGATGGCACATACTTGCGGCTGAGTGGTCCAGTAGAGAACCTGTGCAACGTCTGACGTTGTGGACGTACGTTGGACTCTTGGTGAAGTCAATCGAACTGATCTTTTTTCTCGCACTATCCGCCTTGTGCGATCGATTCCCGTTGAAGAAACAACATTCTGCACGGTCGACAAGAGAAAAGGACGACGGAATCCTTCTCGTTATAGTAATTCGGGCAACCTGTACAAAAAAGGTAGCTGCAGAAAAAGGTCTCTTGTGGCCTTCCTCCTGCGTGGTGACGCGGCACATGCATCCATGGACCATGAAACGCAACTGACAGCAGGAAAATATTGGAATATGGGACGGTACAAACACTTGGAAGCCTGACGTTCGTTGTCTGCCAGTCGGCGCTGTCGATACTAACCGAGAGTCACACTAACCTGCATCGAGCGGGACCTGGGCAGAGGTCCCGACGACCTTGTTGTTGCTGAGAGAAGGCAGCCACTCAGGGTTGGCTCGAAGACGCCCTCCGTCTTTCGAAGCTGCCGCCAGATCTTCTGCGGTCGCTGGTGCTGAGAATGCATCGCCGTTGCACGAACGGGAGAATTTGCGATCAGTACCCCACCACTCCGAGCCAACGTCGCCGCGACAGCAATATTGGGACTGAATGGCCGCCGGAGAGCGGCCAAACATCGTCACATTTGAAAGAGGAGGCGCCAAAATGAAAACAAATATCATCGCTATAATCTGGTACTTGGAACATACCTGTGCAGAGCGGGCTCGAGGTAGTAGGTGTCTCGGAGATCTTTTCCCCCAGAGAAGCCAACCACTCGGGGTTGTCTCGATGGCGACTTTTTGGTTTGGATGCTGCGAGATCTTGCGTGTTCGGTGGTGGTGCTGAGAACGAACGGCCGTTGGAGAAAAAAGATAACAACGTTAACGCTGTGAGTGGATAGAGATGGATTTGAAGCGTTTTTTTTTTTGCATGTTACGGGAAAAATATAAACATGTGATCTAGTTGCTCCGCGCTACAGTGTGATGGTAGAGCAATTTTTCAAGCTAAGGACCGCCAGAGAGCGGCCCGGCATACTACTCGGTGGAAGAGGAGGCGTCAGAATTGTGAACGTAAAGGTCAAATGGCAAGTGCAAACACCAGGCAACAAGCCGCTAGCGAGCCGGGAGGAGGACTGACTTCTTGTTGAGAGATATCCTCTCGATGCCGGCAGCAGCAGCAGCAGCAGCAGCAGCACGTAACTCGGGCTCATGAGAACTTAAACCAACTTCCATGATAAATCAATCGTGGGGGTCACAGGGATAGCGGTACCCCTGTTAACCTTCTTTCCACGGGGTCAACAATTTCGAAACGTACCAGGCACCTCTTCTTTCGAGTCTTGAAGGTTTGCCAATCGTTCCACCGCGTCGGAGGTAGGTTCTTCGTCTCTTGTGCTCCCGCTGCTGCGGACTTCGTCGCTGGCCCTGCCAAGGCCGGAGGACTCATCGTCGCTGAACCCCATCGAATCTATTTCCTGTCCTGGGCTGAAACCACGGACGGGAAACAATCGAGGTATTCGATGCTTCAGCAAGCCACCGCGGGAGATGGTTCGTAGGCACGAGGGATGAGTGCAACACACGCTGAACTGATGCAGTATTGGGTGAGTTGATGGGACATCCTTTTTTCCCAACAATTTTGGGCAGTTTAACCTGTTGTAGAATCTGCCTTGCTCCGAGAGCTTGCGCACCTCAAGGCGCGCAAAAGGACGTAACCAAAAGTGGTTGAGTTGCAGGTAAAAGAACAGAGACAGTTTGGCCAACGTACCGGCCAACCTGCGCTTGCGAATCAAACACCCGGTCTGACCGAAACAACTCTTCTTCTATTGGCAGACGCAGTCCAAGATAACACGCAAAATAATCCAATCCGATGTGAAACATCTTGCGGCGTCAGTGCAATGCGTGACAATATTGGGCTAGCTCGTAGCCGTGATCATAATCATGAATGATCCGATCATGACCGGGTCATGACTGGATCATGACCCGGTGATCGGGAGTGAGTCATGACCCGGTCATGAATGGGTTGCGATCTCGACCACGGCCCGGTTCCGTGGCCCCAACCATGATCGGATAATGATCGGATCATGACCGGGACATGAATTAGGTTGTTGTTCCTCGCTTTCGCGGGAATTTTCGGCCAGACTGCTGGATCATGATCCGATCATGTTTGGGTCATTACCGAGTCGTGATCGTGTCATCACCGGGTCACGATGAGTACACTATGACCGGGACATGATTATCATCACCCATTGAGACCCAACCATGACCCGATGGTCTCCGTAGGTTTAATGCATCAACGCCGACCTAGCATCTATGCTGGCACACGCCCCTAGATGTTGTTTCATCAACACCAACCTACTGTAGCGCCATGCCGGCACACCAACGTAGGATTTATCCGCGAGCGCCAATCTAGCACCTTATCGTTTGACTTTGGGATAGGGTTAGCGTAACCGTTAGGGTTTTTAGCTGGATTCATGCCATTGCCAAAGAGCACCAGAATTGTATCATGATCGAGTCATGGCCGAGTCATGACTCAGCCACGACGGGATGATGAACTAATGTAGTCATGACGGCCATGGCCGAGTCTTGACGGAAGTCATGACCGAAGCATGACCCAGTCATGACCAAAGCATGGACGAGGCATGACTCCGGCCATTATCGAGATCATGACCGAGATCATGACTCCATCTCGATGACTATGTAGGTCATGCGTGAGGGTCATGACCGAGTCATGACCAGGAGTCATAACCGAGTCATGATCGGGTCATGACCGTGGGTCATGATCAAAAATGTCATAGCCAACATCTGATAGACTGGGCTAGATCCCGTGAAACGGGCATCTACGTTTCAGTATTCGCCCCTTTCCCTTTGGGATTACGGTCTCCAATTACTTGTTTGGATCGCGAAGGTGGAGGCTATATTGACACTACCGTAGACTAGAGTACCCTTGTGGAAATGAGGCCAACATGGGGACAAAAGTTAGAGAGGTTGACAGCCTCCATGAAAGGAGGCCATTCACAATTGAAAGTTTATATTCAAGCACCTCACTTGAAGGCAAGAGAGAACAATCTCCCACACTACTGACAGTTTTGCTAAACCGCCCATGGGCCGCCCATGGGCACTTCAACCTAGAACTTCGCCACCGGCATATCAACCTAGAACTTAGCAACCTGCACATCAACCTAGAACTTACAGGAGCCACCAGCGCCAACCTAGCACGTATCGTGTGGGTTTGGGGTTAGGGTTAGGGTTAGGGTTAGAGTTACTAGCCCCTATGGTGCCCGTTCCAACGTAGATATTATACTGTTTAGGAGTACGCTGGTTCGGTAATAGGGCTCTCATTGACCGCCCATGAGCTTCCCATGGGTTGCTCATGGGCCGCCCATGGGCTGCCCACGGGCTACCCATGAGCAAGCCGATGGGTCACCCATGGGTCACCCATGGGCTGCCGGATTCCCATGGGTCGTTTGGGAAAACTGTAGAAAGCGTGGGAGACCCAGAGAGAACGGCTGAGGCGAATTTACTGATATCCACGGTGCCAAATCGAAGACGTCGTGAAATTCTTCACTCGTCTTTTGCTTCGGGCGACAAACGCAGTCTGTAAGAGCTTTTTCGATGGAGGTTTTGACTTGCTCTTGTTTGGTGGTAAGGCAAGGTCTGTGTGAGGTGCTACGGAGGACAAAATATACATGATGGGGATGAGCACGTCCGCTGGATTGAGGCGATCTCAAGGGGTACGCATACGAGGCGGCGAAGACAAAAAAAGTTCCACTGAAACCGCCAAGCCGTACAAAATGTGGTGCGAATTTTAACCGTGAATGTATGTTACACTTGAAGAGGGCTGGGTGAAAATGCACGCGGCTCAGCCGTGATACAGCTTCTTGTCTTGGGGCGCCCTGTTTCGGGACCCACGAAACATCCAATCAAGCACCCGAGTTTTGTCTTTTAGGGCGTTCTCATGAAGTACCAGGTACGAACCCTAACCTATACACCCGGAGATACGGGTGGTATGGCCACCTGCGGTAAAACTACGTACTCGAACTCCCGAGCATTATACTTCAATGCACATGCACTTCCTACCGTCCGTGCAGTTGAACACAGCAGACGCACCGAAACAAAATATCCTATCGGCGCAGTATCGACACGAAGAGTATGTTGATCTTGGATCTCTGACGCCTATTCGTCTTTGTAGAATGATTTGGACCCTCTATGTACCAAGATGATGTGTTGAATGTGACGAGTACCCAACCAGGCGGTACCTTGGATCGCCGAACTGTGGTTGCGTTTCTCTGTTGCTTCCCCTGTCGGATGTGAGAGGCAGAGCTCTTGACAGCAAGTAGCTTAAGCAGTTCTCTCAATCGCATATTGATCGCTGATAACCCAAATGGACCCAACACCTCCGAACGCCTGCCGCATCGAAGTGGGCTCGCCCAGTTGGGCATAACACTCGATACATAGAGGCAATGCGCCATGCAGGCACGGTGGCATTCTCGTCGCGCAAACCGCTCGCGCTCGTTGTGGCTGTGGTTGAACAGTTACAGTTATCGGCATACAGTTATACAGTTTCAGTTGCTGTTGGAGGACGCACCTATGCATAGCAGCCAGCAGCACCCGCAGCAGTATGCCAACCAGCGCGTGCTGCTCTCTGGCCCCCCTCCAATCTTGTGTCTATCTTTCTCAGCAGAAGATTGGGGGTTTTGAGGAGAAAACGGGACTGCAAGGAGGATGGCGTGGGTGTGGCAGGGGAAGGAAGTGGAAATGACCAAGAAATGACGATGCACCGCGCGGAGCAGAAAAAAATAAACCAGATTGTCCGCCCCCGACGAGGCCACCCTCCAAAGATCCAAATTTATGAGAACGGTTTCCTCTTCGCTCAGCATTCGGGAGCAAGTTCTCTCAGTCGCTGGCAAGGCAGCAATTCATCGTGGTGTAGTTTGTAGATCGGTGACAGTCTGGATTACAACAGTAGAGTCGTTTCGTTCGTGCTTGTGTTACGAATTCCAATGCTGCACCGTTCGTGCTCCATTGTTGTCACCGCGCGGAGCCTCTTTCGTTGTGCCGCCGTTTCTTCCGTTTCCGACACAGAGGTACAGAGGTTGGCATTTTACTGACTCAGATATGTGTAGATCCCATCCGGACAAATCTCTCGAGCACGGACGGACCAGTACCTCCGCTTCATAGATTGCGTCTAACCACTGTTCTGGACAGCTATTTGTCAGCTGTCACACATTCTAATCCGTAGTGGGGACCACGGGCACCGCAAAGTTGCGCACTTCCTCTTTGAAATAACTGTACAAAAATGCCATGTCTAAGAGTTAGGCCAAACGTTCTATCGAAAATACCGAAGGGAAGAGTGTTGTAAAAACTCTGCAAAAAACCCGCCCCTCTCGAGATTCTCACTGCACACTGACAAGATTGCCCGAGGCATGCAGCACGCGAGATCCAGTCGGTGGGTAAAGGGAGAAAAAAAACTACCGGTCATAGCCCCTACCGGCGGGGAAAAAAACTGTGGGTCCAGCAGGGTTGCCCTCATCGACTCCAACACCTCCCCTGAGAATCACTATACTTGGTGATGTTACCCAAATCTCCATGATCGTCATCTCTATCAATAGTCCAGGATACGATTGGCAATGGATGGATTCACAGTGAGGGTAAACGCAGAAATATGACTACACATCATTCATAGGAGTCTACTTTGTATACGTCTGATCATCAAGCATCAGCTAGCAGTATTGATGTCTGCCCGGCAACAGGAGCATGAAGATAGCTTGTTGGCCATCTTTGTTGTGAGAGGGGTAAAACATGTCGGTAGAATAAGGGACGTTTTGGGGAATTTGCGTGGTTTTGACAAAAGCCGCGCAAGTTTAATTAAAGTCTAATCATGCCTTCATACGTGCGCGGTGTTGCCTGGGAGTGAGGCCGTGTCACGCTACAGTTACTCATTGGACAACTACATAAAAACCGATATCCGAATGTGGGTCAGCATTTCCCATCCATTGTCTCACGTGAAGGAAGCACATGATCTACAGCGAGGGGCGAATGTCTGCTAGACATAACATGACCCTAATGTGGTGAAGGAGCAAGTTGAACGCCGATTCGCCACCCATTGCAACCCCGATGATGTAAATAGTCACAGGAACACCGAAGCATCAGCCAGTGCCAGGACAAGAGCGCGCAAGCAACAACTAGCAACAGGCCAAACACAGGCAAGGCACGTTCTAACAGATCCCCATCACTTTCAACGCACGTTCTCGGGTACATCGCGCACTATCGACGACATCCACGCAAGCTCCTCTCTGCCGAACCCCAACCCCTCCTCCTCCTCGGCGTACTCATCATCACCCCCGCCACCCCTTAACGCCTCTGCCACTCCCCCGGCATCCCCACTCCCCGCCCCAACATCATCACCGCTAGACGCACCAGGGCGGCCGGTAGCGGCGGCCGCATCTTCACTGATTTCGGGCACTAGCGCCACGTCCTTGATGCCGTCGTTGGCGTCCAGTTTTTGCACGATGACCCCCGTTGCCGTTCGAGACTGCCGGGCGATCGCGCCCGCGCGCTGCCGCACGATGGTGCCCTGAGAGAAGACACAGAAAGGCGGGCGCGGGCGTGCACGCAGGCACGAAAAAAAGCAACATCTGTTGAGCAACGAATGGCAAAACAAACCGCCTCATTTCTCGATAGGAGAGCAAACACATTGTGCCTTTGAGTCAACACCAAATGGGAAACAATTCAAAGGAGGACGAAAACGCAGAATCGTACAGCTATTCAGGCCGGCAAGGCGCTCGATCAAACACGGGACAAAGCGAGTCACCAATCGCGCTCATCACAAGCAAGAAAACAACTCAACTGGCCGTACTAGAGATCTGAAACTTTATTAACGAACACAGTACGCACTGGATTGTTGCCAATACTCGTGCGCCTCGGGAACAGCTCGCATCAAGGCGCCCAGTGGCGAACCAGCAAAGCAGGATGGAAAAACAATGATAACAAAACAATGATAACATGTACACATCGAAGAACAGTCTGCTAACGCACGGACGTACAATGACGACTCTCCAACGAAACTCTGGCAAGAAATTCGTCGACAGCTTCCCAAAAGGTGTGCAGTATAGGGGGTACACGAGGCACTTTCCAATGGAACTCAATTGCACAAACTCCCCGGGACGCCATCACGAGAGGGTTTGAATACTTCCATACCACGTTTACATCGAATACCCTGGGGCTGCAGACTTTCGATGCTTCCGTTTTCAATTGGTTGTGCTAATCGAAGTTCACTCCGTGCCTACATCTCATCGCATTCTCAAGTTCCAAAGATCACATAAACCAGCCTCTCACTTTGCCCCCTGCAACCTCGAGAGGGATGTGTGTTCGGTGACAGGGTCAAACGATCAAGGCAAGACTACGGCACCCCCGGCCTCCATTCTCCAGCGCGACCGACAATGCGTCGCGCATGCCCTCCAGCCTTCTGTCATCTCCTCGTATGCTACCTTCTGTTTCCCCCTCGTTAAAAATACTGATCTTCTTCTCGTATATCGTACCTGGGCCGTTGATAGCATGATCTCGTCGTCTGCCCCCACTATGCGGAAGCAGGCAAGCGTGTCTTCGAGCTTCTGCCTCAGCTTGAGCGCGATCACGCCCTTGCCGCCCCTGCCGTCATCCCGTTCGCGTTCGTGTTGCGCCGGCAGCGCGACAAGGGAGGCGTTGTTGTTGTTGTTGTCCGCGCATCAAAAATCGTTCCGGTCTCTACTCATCCGTACTGGTCTAACTGACGCGGGTGCCTTCCGTGGTGGAAGGTGTAGGAACGACAAATCTTGTTTCGGCGAACCCAATTGACACTTGAGATGGCGACGTCAGAGGACTGACCGACGTCTCACGGGTACGTAGAATCCCCGGGTTTCCTTAAGGCGTTTGCTTGTATCATACTGGAAGGGCTTAGGTGCGGAAAGAGCTTCCCCATCCCCAATTGCGCTTCTGGCATTGCCTTACATACGACTCTTTTCTATCTAATGTCGTTTCGGACGAACAGAAACAAAAACTGACCTACGTAGCTCGGGCCAAAGGATATCCGAACCCACTTCTCCTCTTCGCAAGGAAGGGGCGCAACGTCCCAACGGCACGCTTCGCACCACCGAGCAAGTGAAACCGTCAAACTAATTCCCCCGCCCACGTCCTTCCCCTCTGTCTGCCTCCGAACCCTCTTTGTCAACTTGTCCGTGCGGACCAGCTTCCCGCAGCCTCCGACTTCATCATACGCCAACCCAACCCCAGCTTCCCCGCGTCTCGTGACCATTGGGGAGGGTTTAGCCGGGACGACACGTGATGGTCGAACGACGACCATGACGACAACGACATAACAACAACAGTGGCTGCAGCAGTGGCAGCTCCCTGTTCCAAACGAAGACACCGTAACACGCCCTGCCAGGCACACCCTCCTCCTCCCCCTCCTCCTCCTCTTCCTCCCTCCCGTGGCTACCGTCCTTCTCACCTTCGAGTGGTCTTAAACTCGTTCAAGGCGACGCGCTTGCCGTAGCCTCTCGTGGTCAGCACCAAGAGGGAGTGTCCCTCTTCCTGGGTGACAGAGTCGTCCCCTGCTGCTGCTGCTGCTGCTGCTACTGCTTCTCGTGGGACAACGCCGATGTCGACCGGAACATCCTCGTCGCGGAAGTTCATCGCCTACAACGTGCATGGCAACAGTAGTTAAGTCGTGAGACCCGGAAGCACGCATAGAAACAACGCCCGGGAGCTGTTTCGGGAGGAATGCGGTAGCGTTGTTTGATATTATTGGCAAATGAATATCAGCCGTTCTATTGCATGTCTCTCCATCTCCTTCTTGTTTGACATCCGTCTTGCTATCACGTTCTCCTCGTCATTCGTCGTTTTCTTGTTCGGGTTCATTTTCTTCTCGTCGTCGTCGTCGTCGCTGTAGTCTTCCTTTTGATTTTTCGGTGCTTCTCGCGCGAGCTCGTCGACAAACACCAGCCCGCCGACACTGTCCACAAGCTGAGGGAAAATCGCCCGTAGTCTTGAGGGAAACGGCAAAAAAGCCGGAAGCAGCACGCCGGCTGCCGGTGCGGCGAATAGCACGAAGAGCTAGGTCGCCGTGAATTGTGCAGCGAGCTGCACGAAGAGCGAGCAAGCCCCTTCCCAGGTACCACCAGTGGTACCGTGCAATCGAGTTCGCCCGGTAACATGGTTTCCAACAGGAACTAAAACACGTGCTCTTATGACGCACATACCGGAGTCCACGATAAGATGTAGCAAACAATAAAAACGATGCCAAAACACTCGCGTCGCTATCAAGAGAACCCTGCAGTTATTTTCTACGCACGATTCACATGTAGGAAACGAAACGAGTGCCACCCAACACAAGCGTACAAGTTATTAGAAGAACCCCCCCAGAAAAACCTCGCGACTCACCTTGACGCCCCTGGACGTTCTCCCTGATGGCCGGAGGTCCTTCTGGTTGGCCAAGAATCGGGTGGCATAGCCCTGCTTGGAACCGATGACAATGCCGTTTTCGTCACAGCACCTGGGCCACAACGGGGGGGGGGGGGGGGGGGCGTTAAGAGAACACCGAGTGAAAGGGTCTGGGAACGGGATCATGAAAAGGTCGGGTTTGGGGTTGGGAAACTGAGAGAGGGTCTGAGCGAGGGGTGTTAGCGCCTGGGACGGTGAAAAAAACGTGTTGCCGGGGGTACTGATGATGCCTGCCGTAAGCTTTCCAACATGAGACCTCATGTCCTTTGGAATCAATTCGGGACGAAAGTGTCGCCGGCCAGAGACAGGAGGGGGAGTAATGTATGAAATCAACCCCATCATCGCTAGGATATCGTATCAGACTCGGCACGTTTCCTTGTTTGGATGGGGGAGTGGGTAAGATCAACCACAGTAACAGCGGCTATCGGCCCCGCGAGGCAGTGGAATAAAACGCATATCACTACTTCGGTCAAGGGCGCGGGGCGCAGCGACAAGCTCAAAAGACAAGAGCATACACCTGCGGAAATAGAGGACAACAAGCGGAAATTGTATGTGTTGTAAATATCCCGCAGACGAACTATTTCTTTTGTCAACCAGCAGCCGTCTTCCCCAAACACACATTTGCAACGCCCCGACAGATGACCACGTCGTAAGAGTCTTTCGGCCGTCGACTTCTCCACGAAATCGGAACTGTGAGCGGTTGCATCCAACCGCTCTCCAAGGTGAAGTTTAGCGTCGAGGATATTGACCACAGTTTCTCGTTCGGCGCCGCTCCTGGTGTCTGATACGTTTTGCTTTAGATACGCTTTCAGTGTTGATCGTTTGGCCCGTTTCCACACGAATGCTAGCACGGCCATTCAAAATAGCGGTACTGGAAGTGAGACCACGTGCGGCGCACATCGCTTGGCTAGCGTGGGCGCGAGACCCACATGTGCTATAACTCGAGCCACAAACAATCCCAACAGAGCTGCTCCATGTTTGGTATTTTCCCACGAACGCGATACACGCCACTCAAAGAAACGAGTCACAGGAAAGGGTGGCTGAGGCCGGCTCACCTCTTAACCCAGCGGAGAGTGTCGTCTTCCCCCAGGCTGATAATGATGAGCCCCCGGCTGGACGTGGACTTGAAAGCCGCCAGAGGGGTGCGCTTGATGTAGCCTTTCTGGAAGAACGTCGAATGGACAAAGCGTCGGAGAGAATCAGAATAGATTGGATCATATCTTGCTTTGTTGGAGATGCCTCGACATGATAAGCCCGCCCCTTCCTGACCCGTTGGCCATGCCTCCTGTCCCGTGCCAACTCATTTGATGACAAACGACGTTCCTACAACATACATAGAAGTAGGCAGACACGGCCGCAATCGGAACAAGAGGTAACCGCCCAACTCACAATATCAGCTTCAAAATCAATTATTTGTTGTATTGTGAGAGAGAGCTGCTGCCATTGCTGCAATGCAGCTCTTGGCAAACGAACCTGTGTGAGGAGCACAAGGTACTCATCCTCCCTGAAGTCGTCCACGGCCAGCACGCTCGCGATCTGCTCGTCTCCCGCGATGGGCAGCACCTGAATGAGACGGTTTCGAAAAAAAAAAAAAGATCAGAGTTAGCACTCCACGCGTAGAGGAAGCATCTCATTGTAGTGCGCAACTAAGGAATCATACTTCACCCTTTTGGGCCTTCAGGTGTACAGATCGTTTGCAAATGCTGGTGTAGTGGTAAGCCTGGGAATCTCTGCCCTCTGTAGCCCTCCACGCCGGGTATTGGGAAGTCCACAGGTGTCTGTGTAATCCTTGCATCGACCGCGCTTACCGGCTGACCGATGGAAAGCCGTCAGTCCCAGCAGGTAAGACTTAGGTCTCGGGAAGCGGGTTATTCGAAAGATGCGCATTACCCTAAATGCGAACGGCAAAGTTCATCTCTCTACACACTATTTCACAGAGACGCACATCACAGCACCACGCGTACCCTCGCCCGAACCTAGGCAGGCACTGATGCAAAGAGCGGAGGGCTGCGAATGGGGTATTTCAAGCCCAGCCGAAGCCAGGATCTCGTGGTACGCTGCATCGATCTTTCTACAATCGTACCTAGCACAGATCCAGCAGTTATCGTGTCCTCCTACAACAGCCGTGTAGACGAGTCAAACAAATTAACATAGGCTACATGTACATACACATCTTAGCTCCATATATACGCACGCCCGGACCTAGGAAGCTGCCATCTAGGTGTATGCTGGCGTGCTGCTGCGCTGGTGTGATTATGGGAAAGAACAGGCGCTCTAGTGAGCCGGCAGGGCAGAAACGTGAGGGGGGGAACAGAGAAGTACAGAGAAGTACCAGCTAGGGCCTCCAAGCCCTCTGACTGATCATTTTCACTGATAAATAAAATATAGTAGTTTAGGCAACTAGAAGACTGATTATTTCAAGATCTAAAAGGCTACCTGCGCTACCGGCCGCAGCGTGACCACCCACCAACCCTTCAATGACTCTGTCTGTGGCCACCACCCTGTCGGGGACGTCCCGCATGGCCTAAAGGTGGAGAAAGCTGTTGCGTCGACAGAAGTACACATTGTCTCTTTTCTGCACTTCTTTCTCTCTGTTGAGGGGACGTGATGCGGTTTGCGATGTTGGAACTCTCCTTCTTGAAGGCGGCGTGACGGAGCTCCCGGTCACTATGGAATTTTCCCAGAAAATCACACACAAGCCTCGAATGGTATGGCGCACGGGCCGGGACGCCCAAATAGGGGCGCGAGGGTCCGCAGAGACCCTGTTCTTCACCTTCGGGAATATTCCCGGAAACGCTCTTTATCTTGTGTCTTTTCAAAGAGCAACGGATGTACATGAGGCACAGGGCCGCCAACAGCTGCGCGAAAGCCTGCAGACTTCAATTTCGGGAAGTTTCCCGAAAACAGGACTTCCTCAACTAGGTAGGATTTTCTCAAGGAGCAACAAACTTACCTGAGGCACCGGGACGCCCTTGGCCGTGCGAGACCCCACAGGGACTTGGAACGCCCTAATCCCGTACGCCACTCCCTTGTCGGACACGAAGAGAATCGTGTCGTGGTCCTAGATATTTCAGCGAAAGTGACAACAACAGCACCACGTAGCATAGCAGATTATAAGATGGAGCTCAGTAGGGGCTAGGGTTCCCCCCCCGCGAAAGCACGGCTTGCACGTCGAGGAATTAGCTGCGTTCTCTACACGCGCTCTTCTATTTCGTGTGTTCTGTCGTCGGGCACGAAGAACATTGTTCGGCCGGGGTCGTTGTCGGCACTGAACGATCGCTGATGCTGCAGCAAAGATATCCACCGCACACAACCCAGGCAACCAAGATGTGGCAGTCGCAACTCTATTTACAGGAGTGATAGGGACCCTTGACCAGCAATGTACCCAAGTGAGGGAGGTTAGGTGCACAAGAGCACGGCTTAGGATACCGTCACCAAGGTGTCGTGGAATTACCTGGCAGGTGAAGAAGTGCTGCACTACGTCGTGGTCGGATGACATCTTGGCACCGGCCTTGCCTCGAGTCCCCCTGGGAACAGACGACCGCGAAATCGACAGAGGACGATCAGCAAGGATGCAGAGCGACCAAGCATTGAAACAGCAGTTCCGCTGGAGAAGCCAAACATTTGGCACACATTGTGAGACATGGAAACTTTGCAACTTCCGCACCATCACAACATTAAAATCACAGGAAAAGAGGAACCCAAGCTCTCACTGTAGCTGGTTGGTGAATACGGATTGCGGTAACCATACGAGGGAGCGCTAAAGCGCGAAAGTCGAAACTGATTTTCACGTGAGTGCGGCAACATCTGTGCGGAACAACACCCTAGCAAAACACGACAAAAAGCGCGCGCAGCTACTAGAGTTTCACGTCGCACGGCGGCATCTACAATAAGAGGTTACCTGAACGTTTGGGACGCAGACATGAGTGAGTACCATGACTCTGTTCTACATGCGACGTGACCCCTTCTCCCGCGCCACAATTAAAGAATGTGTGGACCATAGGCTGCAGCGGTTGCTCACCTGTTCTGCGCCGTAAACTCTTCCAGCGGCATGCGCTTGATGTAGCCGGCAGCGGTCACCACCACGACCGAGTTGTCATTGGCCAGCAGGTCCTCTTCGTGGAGCTCGCCTACAACAGGGGGAGGCGAAACAAAGCCGTTTGCCGTTGACCAATTTTTATGTCAACAAGCAAGCCGAACGTTACAATATTTCAACCACCTTGTTGGAAAAAACAAACGTATCTGCAGTGGTCCGGAACTCCCAAGACAACAAAGACAGGACCGGACCGGTGCTCACGCAGCGCCTTCATGGCATGTCAACTTCGACTTCCTCAACAACAATGAAGATGACGACCTGGTTTCCACGGTCTACGAGGGAGGCAGAAGCGCGCTGATACCATTCCGTTAACAACCCCAGGGCATGCACCACATGAAAAACTCGAGCCACCCTCTTGTATGACCCCGTGGTACCAGAGACATTCTCCCGCGCGAAGATATAACTCGGTAACAATGTATAAAACGAAAAAAAGAACGGCGTGCTCGCCTTCGTCGGGCTTGATCATGGTCCTGCGGGGGACCGCGTGCTTGTTCTTAGCCTCGGTGAGTTCCTCCACGATGATGTCCATCACCTTGGAGTCCTCGTTCATCACACCTTCCAGCCTGGTAGTGGAACAGAAACAAACACGAGACCGTGTATTTCACTCCAGCGGACTCATTTGGCGACCATTCAGTGAATAGGTGGGCTTCCGAGGGAAAGGTCAAGCGATTCCAATTGTCGTATCCATTACCATGTTGGAAACGTGCCTCGAAACAACTTTCCGGTACGGATAGGCGACGTGCTCTGGGAGCACAGCGTCGTGCCGTTTATCATTTCACTCGTTCTGAGCCTCAGCTTTCACCCCTCTCCGCATACTTCGCGTGCTTAGACGCGCCAGACGGGTTCATACACGCGGAAGATCACGCGTGAGTGTGTGTTTCTTCCTTGCTTGCCTATTTCGAAGTTTTTATTTCGATATTTTTCCTTTTGCGGCGATTATCCTGAGTCACTTGTCACGAAAGAACCCAGAGGCCCGTTTCCCTCGTCGCCTGTGAATGCACTTCACAGTGTTCGTGTACTCACGAGATTGCCTACATACGTCAGAGCGGTGCGAGTTTCCCGACTGCACCACTGAGGCAGGCACCACCACGACTACCAAATGCGCAGTGAAAGCACACGGAACAGTGTTGCACTCGGGGTGAAAGGACGAGCAGTTGAAGAAGCAGTATGAAGTACTGGCCATACTTCGAGCAGATATACCGAGGATTTTGTTTTCCGTCGTGTCCCGGTTGCGCGAACCACAGCTTTCCGGCCTTTACCCTGAGCTCTGACTCACGCCGCACACACGTCGCCCAGTCAACATCGTGTGTTACTAGAAACCGGACCCACCTTCCAACCCTTAGCGCAATGGCAAGGTATGCGCACGCCGCGCTTCTCATGCGATATATAACCGGTCATCAGATGCAACCAGCACCACCGAAAATAGGCCAAACCTGCTCGCCGAACGTTTCCTACAAGCGCGTACCGAAAACCATAAAACTCAAGCAAATGTGCGTACACGCAGACGTGCCCGCGGCGACATTGAGCGTAGGCTACCATGCACGAGGCTGCGAGAATGGGTCCATAACGACCGAGAGTCTCGACAGCCTGCTTAAGCGACACATAACACTAGCAGCGCGGATAACCTTGGCGAAAGAATGCCTCCCTCACCTCTCCATGGCGGCCTTGAGGTCTTCCGCCTCTGCCTTGAGCTTCCCCTCTTCCATGGAGGTCAGCCTTCCCAGCCGGAGGGCCAGGATGGCGTCCGCCTGTTCTTGAGACAGCCCGTAGGGCTCCGCCATCAGGCCGTCGCGGGCCATCGGCGTGTCGGTGCTGCCGGGCGTGGCAACACAGCAAAAGAGGTTTGGTCGTTTGTGTTGCGGATATGCGAACGCATAGTGTTGGTTTTTCAGAGGATGCGCACACGAACGCGCTAGCGAATAGGAATCTTGTGTTGTGATGCTATTGGCCCTGCAAACTAACAAGCAAGAGCAATATATGACGATAGTCAACTATATATGGAACCAAAGCTCGTGAACGCGGACTCGAACGGTTAAGCGAATGGGAAACACATCTTCGGAACCAATTTGAGCCAAGAAAAAACGCGACGGGTGACAAATCTCGCCGAAAGACATGCCAGCAGTGCGTCGGTCAAGGAGAAATCACAAAAGAGTGAAAGTTCCAGATGTCGACGAATCTAATCAAAGCCGAGCAAAGTCGCCGTTTGGAAGGACAAGGCGGCCCCGTCGGTAGCCAGCGGCGTGTTTGCAATTGCCATAGTGCTATTGCTGCCACACAAGCGCACACTTCTTTGCTGTTGTTGCCACACCAGAGCAACACTTCCTTGTTTCATTGAAGTTCTTACAATTCCATCAATCGAACCCGTTTCACTCATGATCTGACCCACGACACTGGAAGCCGCATCCCCATTTGCAACGTTAATGCGACTCCATCCAACAACTGAAAGATGTTCACGGGTTGTCCTGTACGTTTCCATCAAGTACTAGTGACACGTTCGGAGCAGTACCCAACCACGCCACAAGGTTCGAGAGGCTTCCCAAAAGTCGCAGAGTGAGGTCCTGGAAGCGGCCAACTCGCAATTCACTTCGACCACCATCAACCTGATCACTTTCGGTTTCCGATCAGCTTTCGATGGGGCATGCACCGCGGAGGGATTGGTCTAAATCACCCCGAATCGGAGTTACTTCTATTGCGTCAGTAGATTGTAGGGGCAGGACTTAACGATAGGCGACCAAGCGGGTGCGGAGAGCAATGAGTGAAATGGCGGCGAAACGCACGAACTCTTCGAACACTCTAACCCCAACCCTAACCTTGACCAAACATCCCCGTCACAAGTGCAGTCTGCAGCCGTCCAACCATGACGCACGATTCTCGTTCGCCATGGGCGATCGCCACGCGGTGGTCGACATGCGCCGCACCTCTTAAGTCTTTTGCGCTGTTCGACGTCATCACATCATCACCACCACCTCATTACATCGCACGACCGTAGATCACCGACGAACAACGCGGCTCGGTCTGTGCCTATCGCGCAAGGAGCACCCCCTCTCACCTGGCCCTGACGAGCTCGATGACGGCGTCGATCATGCCGAGCGCTTGAAGCATGCCCTGCACGATGTGCTCTCTCGCCCGCACCTGTGGACGAGAGTGATTTCGTGCACGGACGCCATGAATTGACTTCACTTCGCATGTGTGCGGTCTAATTATGGCAATGACACAGTGATATCAAAAGCTCGACTTTCCCGCCGATTATACCCTGAGAGATGCGTTGCACAAACCTCGACACCCAAATAGAAGTGAATGCATGACTTTCGCTTTGCGCGTTGGCTTTTGACGGATCAAGGAGTACTCTTTCGGAGAGCCTTTCGGGGACGAGCGAGATGGCCCATTTGCCGCTGATGGATCGATTTAACCACACTTCAAACAAAGCTAAAAAAACTGCTTCAACACAACTAGGACGCCGCAAGACATGTGCACAAACTCAACAATGAATATGCGCGTCACGAACATTTTTTTCACGAAAAATTATTTCGGGATTGGGGAAAGACACCGTATCAAAATTTCGAGACCTCTCATCAACGATTTCACAAGTTCTATACAGTAGGTGTCCCGATATAGTGCCGGTTGAATAGTGCCAACGTCCGGTATAGTGCCAGTGCCAAACCGGCACTAAAGCGGGCAGCCCTCAATAGTGCCAAACCGGCACTATTCAGGCCTGTGTCTGTGTCGAGAAATTTTACCGGCACTATACCGGACTGTTGGCACTATTGCAACTTCAGGCACTATCGATCCCGTCAATAGTGCCGGTTCACACCCCCCACACGGCCTTTTTTCGCCTCAAGCCTTCCACGCCAACAGGATTCGGAGACGGTTTCCCTTCGAGCTACAAGTATAGCTCGGTTTCTCTCGGTACGCGTGACGTCTTCAAATGCCACGTTATACCGATCGACCAGGTCCCACCAATAGGCTGGGATTTCAGTAGTGAGGCGAGCGAAAAGGAAGATGGTGGTAGTGACGAAGGACATGGGAAAATATAGCCAAGGATAGCAGCGATGATGCAGGAGGAAAATATGGCGTTGAGGGGAACAACAAGAGTTTCCGGCGAGATGACCTTCCTCACAACAAACGCCGCAGGAGAGATGAAGAAGTGGTAAAATTAAGTATTTCTAAGGAAGGATGAAAACACTCCCAAACGAACGCGTGTTCACAGTAGTAAGCCTTGGCAGTCACTTAGTTCTCCTCTCTGTTGCTATCATTTCTACTGTCGTTTATCCAGAGAACAGCCCAGCCTCCTCCATGACACCCTCTCACGGCCTTGAGAAACAAATGTCATCTGTTTTTGACCGCGCTGTGACTGACGTCTTTTGGTTGGCCAGTCGTTTTTTCTTGCTTCTGAAGGCTTGGTTGGTCTTCTCTCTAGCTTTTTATCGAAGGAACAGGGGAGTTCGTTATCTTCTTCACCCCTTTTTTGGGTTGCATCTGCTTTTGTGTGCTCATGTAAGGAGCACTACACCCATCCATGGTTTACCTCCAAATGTACTACATCGGGTGCAGTGCGTGCATGATCGTCTTTCTTTCGCTGTCGAGGGGTGCCTTTGAGGTTGCCTGAATAGTGCTACGGCCTTCTTGCAATACAACACAGAATAATTTGATAGCGAGGTGAACTTTTATCGGGCAACGCAGTCTAAGGTTGAAAGGCAGCAGCAACGTTTCACTAGCGAGTGCTTGCGCTGAGGTGGGAAGAGAACAACTGCTGTGCAACAAATCTATCTGGTCAATCAAGTTGATTTTGATGTGACCAATGCCGTGTTTTCGACAGTCCAAGAGCCTCACGAAACTTAATGAAGCCCGCCCACGTCGACCACCTCACGATTGATCCAAATACCGGTCGTTTGGTACTCTGTCAGCCCCGCAAAGCGCAAGCGCTGCACTCTGAAGTCGAACAGTCTTGAATAGTGCCAAGACGGCACTATAGAGGGATTTTCAGGCCCTGAATAGTGCCGGTTTGGCACTATATAGGCACAATTCTGAAAAGGGCCGGTGCCCGGTATAGTGCCGGTCAAATCGCCTGGACACATACCGGCACTATGTCGGCACACCTACTGTACTACAAACTGAGAGACATCTATCTGGCGGCCGATGCGCACAATCACATCTTGCCGCCCACAAACAGCTACAACTATCGGATTCGGCAGGCCTACCTAGCTAGACGGACGCAGAGGTCCCACAACAAACAATGCGCTCAAGTCCATAAGGATACAAGGAAGGGTAGAGTATGCTGCAAACCCGTGCCACCTATGTACCTCGGAATCGGAAGCCTGATCATAACGCAGGCGACTAAAAATAGACCAAACGTCGGAAAAATGAAAAACTGACCTTGCCGAGCTCAAACGCAGTCCGCCTCCGCACGGTGGTGAACCGGAAGTCGACGAAGGATTGGATCGCCGCTCTCAAGCTGAACCGGTGCGGCTACACGGAATGGTGAGTGTCAAACACGCACGAAATCACCCACGCACACACGCGAGAACAAGACACGAGGCAAGCGGGGTGTGAGGGGAGGCATGGCTCTGAGGTGATCGCGGCACACCACGTAGTCAATGCACCTCTACACGAGCACGTCGTCGGGGGGCTAGCGCGCACACAGAGAGTTCGAGACGTAGAGCGAGGTGAGGTTTTGTCGTATTCTGGCCTCTCCTCGTCTCGGCGCAAGGGGGGTCGGTTGCTGCGTGCCTTGTGAGTAAGTAGGCACACGTCCCTTACGGTGTCGAGCACCATTTGTACCCCGATCGGCGACACCACCAGCGACTCTCGAAACTGCCACTAAAACGGACACTGCCGAGCTTTCTCGTTCTCAATCGGAATCTTGGTCCCACGATTTTCTCCAAGGGACCGCAGTTGAGGTTTTCTCGCGCTTGTCGAATGTGCCGAGAGCTCCATCTCATCGCTTCCATCTGTATCCGCCAAGTCCCTCTCACGAGCAGGGGACACAGGCAGAGAACCCAAGAAAAAGGTGAAGAAAACCGACACGCCGATACCCATACCTTTGTCCCGTCGCTCCCAAGAGCCAGCATGTTGCCACTAAAGGACGTCTGCAGCTGCGTCTTCTTGAACAGGTTGTTTTCCACCACCTGAGAGAGAATGCAAGGGAGAGAGAGATCGAGAGAGAGAGAGGGATAAACAGAGAGAACGAGAAGGAGAGAGAGAGAGACCGACGGGAGGCCGGGGGGTATCAGTACCAATGACAAAAAAGAGCGACACGCGCAAAAGATGGACGAGCTGAGAAAGCAGCGAATACGAAACAAAAGAGTTTCGCAGGTTATTTTATAAGACACATGCAATATGCGGGCGACTGAACAAAGTCAAGGCGCACAACCGAGCAGCGCCTAATCAATAAAATTTTCACCTGAGGGTTAGCGTCCCGCTTCAGCTCGACCACAACCCTCACGCCGTCGCGGTCACTCTCTGAAATCCAGAACAAGGGAAGAATTTTACGAAGGGGAAGAGGGGGCGGGCGCGCGGACGGAGAAAAAGAGACGAAATAAGTGCATGCGTGGGAGCTAGCTGTACCGCTACCGCGAGAACAAGAGCCGGCAACAGGCCAATAATAACGCCAACGAGAGAGACACCACCAACCTGGCACTACTGTGTCAACTATTCGGTCGACAAAAAAAAAGGATGTTATGTGCGAACAATAATTTCGAGGGAAATCTTTCCGTCGGCACCCGTACGTGTTTTTTCGCAAGCGTGGCGGAAACAGGGAGAACAACGAGCGCGCAATTGCTTCGAAAAGTCTGCAGACGTGCGGCAAGAACGGAGATTCCTAACAAACGCTCTGAATATATGTTCGACGTATCCGCTATTCGTCGAACCCTCAAGCGAGAAATCAAACGGCGGCGAAGGCTTTTGTTCAGACGGGTCCCCAAGGCTGAAAACGAGGGGGGGGCACACAGCAACAACCTCGATAGGGGTCAAAATAAGGCACTGAGTTGGGCAAGCGCCGCAATTAATTAAAGCGTCGCGCCGCACAAAAAACAAGACGCAAAAACCCAAAAAACGAGACAGGAGAAAAACCCTCCCCACAAAACAAGAGAAGAAGAAGAAAGGCGCTTGATCGACAGGTTCCGTCAGCCAGCGGGGCCGTCAGCCAGCAAGTAGTTCAACACTCACCATCCCGGAGGTCAGAAATGCCTTCCAGCTGGAATGTAACCCGAACCACAAAACACAGGCGAGGAGGCAGGAACAACACATGGAGGTACGGACAGCAGGTGCACGCGGTGGGGGTGAGGGGGTGAGTCGAGAGAAGTGTGGAAGCCCTTCTTGTGCTCTCATAGTAACGTTCCATGAGAAGGGTATGGGGGTGGGTCGAAAAAGCTAGAGAGAGCGAGATAGCCGGGTGTGAGAAAAAGCATGGAGCGTCGAAGATCGTGCACATTCCCACCCCTCTTTCGAGTCAGCCATAACAAGCAACACCGTTCAGAACGAACGTTAACAAAACCCCTTCAAACACTTTCCGACTTCTCCCAAGCTTGATTGCCCCACAACCGGGGGGAATATGCCGCTACCGGTCGATAACTCCACTGGGGAATACCTGTCACTCCAAAGCTAGGTGCCGGTGTGGGCGTTGTTATGCTGCAGGCTGTGCAGGGAATAAGATATGCCGGTCACAACGTTTCTTCACGGACTGCGCTACGATTTCGAACTACTTCGGGTGCCTCTCAAACCGACAGCGCGACCGCTGTCGCAGCACAGAAGAATCGCTGCGATATTTTGCAATGAAAGCGCCACACAGCCAGAGGAGATTCGACGACGAGTTCAAGGAGTCGTGCTGAGCTAGCTACCGTATATGACACAAGATAACACACCCCCTGGACCGATTTTCAAAGCTCGATTACTCCACGACGAAGAGGATGCATAAACGAAACAATACATTTTCGAAAACCTCTCGACGAGACGGTTCCAACGCCGCCGTTTTCGGCGCTGTGACTTTTCCTGCTGTTGAGAAATCGAGCTTTGAAAATCGGCCCAGGGGGTGTGTTATCTTGTGTCATATACGGTATAACGCGAAAAACAGCAGCCGCAATATCGACAACATCATCATCCACAGCAGCAACAACAGTTACGCGACCATGAACCCACAGAGCATCACTCAGCAAGTCCGACTACGGAACACGGATCTGCACGCACGGGATGCGCGCGAGTCAGCACCAGAACACCCCGTCGCACCTTCTTGTCGTTCACCATCTCGGCCATCCTCTGCAGCAGGGAGGACTTGTTGACCTGGTAGGGGAGTTCCGTCACCACGACGGCGTTCCGCTTCGTCCTGCCTTTCGCCTCGATCACCTGCGAACGAGAGTCCGTTACACAAGATGGCCACCGAGTTGAATGCCTTCTTCCCGAGTATCGAGTGCTAAATACTTCGATGGGTTCCAGAATACGCAAAAGGAAATAGTTTGGCCTTTCAAATAACGAGCACCAGAACGATGGATTTCAGCATAAGCAAGGGATACACCGACGTCTTGCCGAAACTTTCAGGAATACACACTAGAAGTCCAAAAACGGATGATATCCTCAATCCTCCACTCGTTTCCCAATATCTGTTGTTTGAATGAATTTATTGTACTTCAACATTGGCCCTAAGGGATACAGCAAAAAACGCAAGCAAAGAATAGTGCGCTATGGGAAGCCAGACAACTGCTGCTGGTGGTGCTTCACCTCGATGTGAGTGGTCGCGCGGAGCGTAACGCCCCCGTTGGAAGTCGTGTAGAGCTTGCGCGCGCCGGCCAGGCCCATGATACGCCCTGCGGATTGGAAGAACGGTCGGAGGAACGGTCCACGAAAAAGGAGCCGGAAAAGTTGTTGCACGTTCAGTTCTACCTACGCACACGGCCTGTTTTCACTCGATGAACGCGATCGCGCGTGTATTTTGTTCGTTGGTCCAACGGTTGTATCACTCAGACGCACGGAGCTGTCGCGTCCGAAATGAGTTCGGTGGCGCATGTGAGCGCAACCACGGCGGCGTCGAAAGCTGTTCATAACCATGCGCAACATTTCGACAGGCGTCCTGTGCAGACAGGCACATGCGGCTGGCAACCAACCGCGAATGTGCCAGTCATTGCATAGCGTCCAGACCGACGTCCACAGCTCGATTGCTCCACGACCAAGAGGCCGCGAATCCCACCGAAACGTTCCAGAAAAGCTCTCGACGCCGAATTGTCAACACCTCCCTGCTCGTTGCGGACTAATACGGCTTTGAAAGTCCGTCTCGGGATGTGCGATGGCTCGCACGTGCGGAACTTTCCAACTTTCTGCTGAAGCCTCGCTGGGTGTAACAAAAGCAAACCAGATCCAGTTCCTACCCCTGCACTCTCGTCTCTTGCTCGCGAACCGCGTCGCACGATGAGGCACAACACCTCGGCGTGGGAACTCATCCGCAGTGTGTGGCTCTAGTTCGTGGTATTTGGGAGGAGAGTGACAGGACGTTTTCCTGCTTTCATTTCGAACTACACCGCATTTTCTCAGCACCATCTATCTGCACACAGGGAGATTGGTGTCATCCATCATTCGGGATCAGTGCAGATGATCACGAGGTGCTCCACGAAGGCTAGAATACAACACATAGGGTATCCACTTTTACTTCCATCCGGGAAAAAAGGCGCCGAGTAGTGCTCATGCAATGAACGCCGCGAGACCAACCACCGATCTTAATGATGGATTGGAGGGCTCCACGCACACGGGTAGCCTTGCTGTATGTAGGTCCAACGTGCCCTGACCGCACCCGTTCAACTGCTAACACTTCGCCAACACCAGCGCCGCCATCGCCTACACCAACATTGACAAACTCCGTCCTTCCATTCACCTCCCGTTGGGAAGTCGGGAGCAGGCAAGAGCCGGAACAGCTGGTCGTCCGGGATTCCGGGGTTCCTGATGAGGGCTATCGTTGCCGCCACCACTTCTCCCAGGTTGTGCGGAGGGATGTTGGTGGCCATGCCGACGGCGATGCCGGTGGCACCGTTGATCAGCAGCAGCTGCAGACGCCAGGATAGGAAAAGCCGGTTTCACACCGAGGAAACCGTGAGAGGTTGTTCGCGGAAAGCGTTGCGGAGGGAAGAGGGGCACGCTAGTCCTGGTGGCCGTCGGCAATATCCCAACACTCAGAACCGACGCCAGCGCTAAATATCAGTCAAATAACAACGATGACACCAACCACAACGACGACAACGACAACGACACATCACAGTATGCCAGACCCCTCGGCCGGTGCAGTAGGGGCCGCGATAGGGTGTGGTTTGTTTTTGTTTTGTTTTATTGTTAGTTTTCAGTTTTGGGGACGTGATAATCAATGGCAACAACAACAACAACAACAACAACGACAATAACCAAACAGTCCGACGAAACCGTTCATCAGCGTGTCGTACCGGTAAGCGGGATGGCAGCACGACCGGCTCCTTCTCGTTACCGTCGAAGTTGGTCATCATGTCCACCGTGTCGAGGTTGATGTCCGTCAGGAGCGTGTCCTTCGCCACGCTCGACAGCTTACACTATTAAGACCACACGTGGCGGCACGGGAAACGAAGAAGCAGCACCACAAACGAGAAAGAGAGAGCATGCGCACAAGAGAACACGGCGGGGGCTGTCAAACAACAACGTGAGGGGCGTCTTTCAATAGACACGTTTCCTAGCGGCAGGGGAGCGCGAAAGCAGCACGTGCGAGGAAGAGACCAGCTAGATGTACCGATGTGCAGAGAGCTTTGGGCTTTGAAGCAACATGCCCACGAGAGATGGCGCACATTTTGAAACGTGGGGTTGCCACTTTGCAGGCAAAGAGGGTTAGCCGCACACAACGCACAAAGCAGACGGGGTCTAATAACTACAGGGGGCAGCGAACAAGGGGCCAGTGCAACCATACACTTGTGTCGATGTGTCGATAAACACTGCCAACACCGTCGGAAAAATAATCTGAGACCAGTCTGAACACGGCCGGTCTACTGAAGAACTGATGTCCCGGTTCGTCGTTGTTCATAATCGACGTGTACGATTTGCTTTCGTATTGTGTCTTGGGTCGTGTTGGCTTCTCTGATTCACCTCGTCGCATGTTCAAGCGACGGGGGGTCTCGACATCAAGGAGCAGCGCAAGAAGATATTGCGGTGTTGGTTGCAGCGGCTGCTATTTAGTGCGACGAAATGTTTATTAAAGAGGCAGCGACGAAGAAAATAACAAGAACCCCAGAGTCGAAATTAAGCCGTAGGATGACGGGGATTTCGAAAACGTCTTCGGTAAGATGACCCACCATCGTGTACAGTAGGGCATGGCAAGCTTAGGACCCGGCCTAAACCAGCGGCCCTTGGCAACACCACCATCGTAAATGTAGCACGTCCCACCCCGCCCCTGTAGTTTGTATAAGATCCAACCCAAATCGGGTTCACAAGACTACACCTGCCAGCCTCCAACCTCACCGCTAGCACCCTAGTGCAAAGGGTCTACCTCAAAACGGCTATTGATGGGACAACGCCAAAACGAACCTCGGTGTAACGCATGGCCGCCGCGGGGTCGTTGTCGATGCTGCCGAAGTTGCCGTGACCCTGGATCAGCGGAGCACTCATGACGAAGTCCTGCGCCATGCGGACGAGCGCGTCGTACACGGCCGTGTCCCCTGCGAGACGAAGCCAGCACATTGTGCCAGAAGCAACAGGACACAAAGTGCCAAAGAAACAAAGAGCGCCTAAGTACATGCCATGGTGAATTGCGTACGTACCGATGAACAGAAATGAGAGAAAAAACGAACAAAAATGGAAGAAAAAACGCAAAAATAGAACGTCGGGCTTCCGCGCGTTGAGGGGATCACAGCGACCCAAACGAACAGACCAACGACCAAGGGTCAGCAAGCAACAAAGAGATGTTACAACGGAAAATAACAAAAACGTGAAACAACGCACGCCTACAAAACGAAAAGCAAGTCCCTTCTGTAAGAACCGCTCAGTGTCGTCTGCACCCCTTTCGGACAAGCTCAAGGTTGGCGGGGTCGCTTGCTCTTAGGGTTTCCACCCTTCCCCCCCCCGCACCCAGCGATGCCATTCCAGAGGGTTTTTCGGTAAATGGCCACAAAAAAAAAGGCCCGTAGCCGCCTACAAAATAAAAAAACGGCATGCCTTGAAAGCGTAATCGATGACGATTCAGCAACAGAGGCAATACAATAAAAGCGTGGCCGTACGGGCTGACTCGAAAGCAAAAACACACACAAAAAACATCACCGCCGGTATCCCTCACCGTGCGGGTGGTACTTTCCAAGCACCTCCCCCACCACCCTAGCGCACTTTCTGTGCGTCCCCTCGGGGTTGAGGTTGAGGCCGTACATGGCGTACAGAATGCGGCGGTGGACGGGCTTCAACCCGTCACGTACGTCCGGCAAGGCTCGGCCCTTACAAAGCAGACAACACGACGGCGGGAAGACACGGAATACGAGGGGACGGGTCGTTGGATACCGTTCAATCGCTAGATGTATGGTAGCGCTGGTTCATGTGAGCAATACCAGCATTTCTGCTCGTAAGCAGGTTCGGCGTCAAAGAGGAGACGCGATGCGGCATAGGGCACGAAGACGTTCGGCGGCATATTTCCACAACAGCACGACCTCGCCTTGTTATTGTCAACCGCAACAGTGAAGCCGATATTGGTGTGGGCTCGAGCCCTCAACAAGACGGCGGGCCGGATAGGAACAACGTTACAACCTGGGGGGCGTCGGGACGACCGAACCGCCGTATAGATGGACACAAATTGCCGTCGCTGGCACCTGTGGTCAGGGAAAGCGATTGTGGCCCTTCTCTATGCATACGACCTATTGGCCAGGGCAAGCCATTGTGACCCTTCTCAACGATTTCTTTTGACTGCCTATCGGCCAGGGCAGGTAGATAATGAAGTTGGAAAAAGGGACAAGAGGTTCAACGTCGGGAAAATGAGTGCGGATGTTTGGGGACACCAACGGCAGTACTGCAGGTTCACAAACACGAAATACTTGACGAGTGGCACTCTCAGCCCGGCGTGTGTGCGACCCCATGCTGCGCGCAGCGCAGGTAGATTCGAAACCTTCACGGCCGAGGCGGGATGGTTGTTGTCCTCGCATCAAAGTGTTCCGATTAAACAAGGGGTCAACCTAAAAACAAGCAACAAGGAGCAAACTTCGTCTTGAAACACCCTCGTCTACGTCGTTGCGAGCTTGGCGACAACTGCTCGGAGTCTTGCGCAATGCAGAAGCAAAATGATCGTGTGGCTCACCAGGATAATGCTCATGGCGTACTGCATGAACGAGGTCTTGATCTCCGCCTCAAGCCCCACGTTCACCACCTTGTATTCGAGCACAAGTTTTACCCGAGGCATGACGGCAACACGAACGACGGCAAGTTAACTCGACGCGTGGGACAGCATCTTTAGCCATCATGGTGGGGCGCTTCGTACGCCCCAAGAGCGGCAAGGTGGACACACAATAGATGCACCAAAGCTCGGCCGATCAGAACGAAAAACCCTCACAGGTTGTGACACCACGAAGTGGCACATGAGACGCGTTTTTGCCTTCACACGGGCACGATGAAACCCAAGGTTTTCACCGAAAGGGCTAGGCATTCTTGTGATCCCTGAAGCCCAGGTTCCCCCACAGAAGAGGCTAGAACGCATAGACAAGGAGATTGGCTTTAACGCGCGCGCGACTGCCACATATGGGTTGGTCCAACGAGACAGCGGAAACAAGGAATGTTGTCTTGCAACAAAGCTTGAAGCCGGACAGTCAGCACAGAGCACGACGCTGGTCAGCATCTCACGTCAGTGTAGTGGTACATCCGCAGCGACTGCAACAGATACCGAAGCCGGGGTCCGCGCTCGCGGATGACCTTTCGGGACTATCATCTGAGGAGCTTGTGCGTTGATGCTGGGAGGGTTCAAACATATCGGTGAAAAGCCGGATGGCCATTCTCAAAGAAAGGCAGCTGAGAACCTGTGCATGGTACATAGGCATGGCGCAAAACAATCTCGCCAGATTTTCTGCGTGGCTTCTTTTCGTCGACATGGAATTGAGACAGCTTTCATTTGAAATCCAGAGCCCAGGCGATCGCTTCCACAGGTGAAAGGGGGGCTCAATTGGATCGCTCGACCGCGACATGGCGGCAAGTGCATCTACTGCAGCTTGCAAGTGCACAAGCGTCGGCGGTTACCAGGCACATGGAATGAGAGTGCAAGACTCTTCTCCGTAAACGTGAGCCTTGTGCACGGAGTATGTACATGTATGTAGGCTGATTTGAATGTCGGACGAGAGCCGGGACTCACCACAGGTAGCAGTGATACCACAGCTTACGCAGATTGAAGCAGACAGCAGCAAGGCCAGAGAGGTCTCACCTGATCTCCTCCCACTAACGGTCCTGGCGGCCCCACCCCATCCACCTCTGACGGAGCGTCCGGGTCAGTGAAAAACTGGCTCTCGTCCGACCCTCCACCCGACGCCATTCGCACTGCCCCTGCTGCTGGTGCCCGCCGCTGCTGCGCTACAAGCCTGCTGCTGTCGCCGACAAAGCCACCACCATTGCTGATGAAGCGCCTTGATTCCGCCGCAGCAACCACCTTCCGTCTGCCCGCGCCGCCTGGCACGAAGCCTCCCGAGAGTCTCGCGGTCGTCCTGCTCGCCCGCTGGGCGGCGGTGCCCACATAGCTCCGGTACTGGTAGCCCGCACCCGAGATGGCCGATGAAGAACAGGGCGCCCGGAGGGCCTGGCAGCACCTGTGCGGCAGGGACCACGCAGCAGCCAGGACGGCCGCAGCGTTTCCGACCCGGGCTGTCATCCACCGTCTTCGTCTCTGTTGGCGCGAGACCTTGTGGCGAGCGGGCTTCATGTGCTGCTTGCTACCCTGGCTGTGGTGTGCGGTGGTGAGGGCAAGGACACAGCAGCAGCACAGCCGAGGACCAGTTGACCTGCATGGTTGCGCCGCATTTTGCCGGATTGTATGCATCGGGACGGGGGGGGGCTAAAGTTTGAAAATACGCAATCACGGAGCCTCTCTCTCAAAGCCAAGCAAGCCGTCTGGTCAGCATTTCCACACCACACACCCAACTAACCAGCACAGCAACCATGGCCCCTAAGCGCAAGCTCCGATCGTCGGCTGAGGAGGATAGTGGAGGAGGGAGCAGTTCGGTTGTAGTCATGGGTGGCAGTTCAGCCGGGGCGAAGGCGGGAGGAGCCCGGCATGCTGCCAAGAAGAGCAAGGCGAAGAAGGTGGAGTGGGCAGAGTGTGTACGCTGAAAAACACACCATGGCGTGTGCGGGGATGCGGGCCAAAGTCCCTGGACAGACTTGGCACGGTTCCCTGGTTTTGCACACGATGAGAAACCCGCACCATTTTCGTACTCTGAGAGATGAAGAGTATGATTTCGATGTCCATTTGCTGCTGTCCGAATAGGAGAGGATAACGACAAACGTCCCTGCAGCGGCGGACAGATGGGAACAACAGAGTTCTTACATCATCGCGTGACGCAATGTATTCCGCCGCTCAATTTCGCAAAAGTGGCAACGACTGCGGCTGCTATTCGGTTCCGTTCCTCTTCTGAGTTGCGAGGAGTCGCGTCGAACCCCCCCCCCCGTCTGCCCCCAATGCACTCTCGCAGACCTTGGTCATGTGCCCTCGCACGGCCGTCATACCCGAAGGCCTTGACATGAGAGATAGCTTGCCACATACGCATACACATACACGGCGGCAGCGGTTTGTGCAACCCGCCCGGCTTCATAGAAATACAACGGTGGCTCCCCCCTCTTCCCGACAGGATGCCGACATGCACGAAGCGATCTTCGAACAATGCAGTGAAAGGTCTTGTGCCTACCCCGCAGCCAAAGTAGGACGTGCTTCCTCCGAGAATCCAATAACACGACAGTATAGTGTACCGGTGCCATTTCCGAGGTCGCGTCGGCTGTTCCTGTGAGACCCCCCCAAAGCAGCGTGTAAGTCTCCCGCGCGCGCCAAAAGATTGATCTCGGCAACATCATCATAGAGGAGGCATTACTATCCCAGCGGCCACACGATAGGACGGAACAATTGCGTCCCCGATGACACCCCTGAAAATTTCCTCGGTAGACGGCGGGGGGAAGCCAAATCAGGCTGCGGCTTCGGTGCATACGCGGCATTGAGGCGGGGTGATACGTACAAGTACAGTTTTGGTGCGGTGCACCATGTCCTCACCGTTTGACCACCCAGTCACATTTAACGCGCACCACTGTGCACACTCTTGTTTTTTCAAGTGATCCCTCCGACGAGAGCACTGCACCCGTGTCATCAAGGGGCGATGTAAGATTCAATATTTAAAATAATAGCTAGAAAGAGTTAGAAAATAGAAGCATCTATTGTAGCAGGACCAAACCACAGCTGACTGCCGGCGGCGGTGTGACGTTTTCCCGAGGTCAACAGCGGTCACAGCTGAAGTGGTTTTGACCCGAAGAGCCCAGCGAACCTCAACGAACGAAAGCGAAGATTATTTTACAAAATCTGTGGTAAACCAGTTTTATCTTTGCCGTCAAGCGAGAGCTGATATTGTAGTGGTCCAGTCATGCTTTTCGCCTACTGGGGAACTTTCACGAATGCCGTGGTACGCCTGAGTCTTGCGTTGTTGTGTCGTCGCGCAGGGGGTTGCGGTGACCCCCCGATTCCCCCCTCCCCACCATATCGACCCACGTGGGCCTATGACTGATGGACAGGCAGAGCGTGGTTGCCATTGTAGGCCATATAGAGAGGGAACAAGAAGAAACCAGCAAGAAATCTTGGCTACGTCAAAACAACACTGGGATGCCTTCACGCCAAACACAAGCCTACGGCGGGTGGCGCTTCAGCAGGGATTTTTCGATTCTCTTCCCCCCATTCGTTCATTTGGCACGTTTCGAGGCTCGAGCCCTCGAAAGTGGCTGGAGGAGAGAGTGAACGCAACGACAGGCTGAGAACAAAAAGAAGAAAAAAGAACCAATGAAACCAAAAGAAGTGTGCTTACCCTGCGAAACTTTTTGGCTGCTTACGAAACTGCTGTATCCCGTCCGCGTATCCCCCCCGCCTTAACGGCACGGCAGAACGTTCCCCCGCTGCCTGCCCGTGTGGACATGGCCTTCCTTCCGAACGGCTTCAGGCCGGACTTGACGAAGCTGGTGGCGGGAGCGCCAGGGACCAGCACGGGGAGGCCGCTTCGGCTGTACGCCGACGGCATTTTCGACCTTTTCCACTACGGCCACGCCAAGGCGCTCGAGCAGGTACTGCTGTGCCCCCCCCCCCCCCCCCCCCCCTCCTTTGGC